GGGAAGGGAGAGAGGTTATTTGGAATGGATAAGCCCTGTCCTGTCTCCTTCCATCCTGGGGAGAAAGGGCAAGGCTGGATGAGACATGGCTCAGAGCTCCTGGCCAAAGCTTTCTAGGAAGCCACAAGAGCTAAGTGTCCACAGGACCTCTGCCCAGAGCCACCAATAGCACCCAACTAAATCTGTTCAGCACCTTCTGCCCCACACCAAATATCTGTGTGCTACAGCCAGGCGTGTCTGCAGCCTTTCCTCCTCCACTTCCTCCCATTGGTCACTTCTATCCAGCTGTCTTTTACTATTTAGCATGTTGTTTTCTGCCCCATGTTTTTCCCCCCAAGTGCCCTACATGGTCCTCCTCTGGGCCATCCACCCCAGCCAGTGACCAGCACACCTCCCCAGGTTACAGCTCCTGCATGACAGGAACTCTCTGCTACTCTCTGTGCACAGAACACAACACAACACTGCCCTGTTCTTGGTTGCAATGGCAGCAGCAAACACAGCGAAGAGGATGACAGCATTTGGATCACCTGCTGTCACTGCCTAGAAATGTTTCTCTATAGTGTGGGCAGGCAGACTCAGTCACAGGATTGCTTAGGAATCTCATCTGCAGCAAACTCCCTCTGCCAAGCTGCTGTGTGATGGCATTAATGATCTTGAGCACAAAGACCTCCTCCCACCTCTCAGGGGTCTCTATCCCTGCTCCTCTCAATGTTCCATCAGACCTAGATCCTTCCTGGCTGACTTGGGTCTCTCCCCCTTGTCTTTGTAACTGCTGAAGTTCCTAGGAGGATCTGAATACTGAAATCACCACTCCTTTCCCTGCCTCTCCCAAATACAAGTTTATTTCAGTGAAGAAACACTGATTTACAGCTGAGGCTCAAACCTGCAAGGAAAACACTGTCTTTTTTTTTCTTCTCATGCTTTGTCTGCCTTGCAATTCGACAATTTTGGTTTCCATGGTACTGGAAAGGCTACCCTCAACTCTTGCCAGCATGGCCTCAATAATCTCTGGAATGTAAAACTAATGTCTCTCACGTTGTACATAATCAATGCCCCTTGGAAGTGTACTGGTCTCCTCATTCCCCCTGCACTACAAGCTAGTAGTGTCTTCAGGTGTCTCCTTTGACCAGAAGTCCCTATATTTGTATGGAGGCACATCAGGGAGATGTGTGACAAATCTCCTCTCCTCAGGCCTCACTGGATATGGCCTTCTGGTCACTCTACCAGTTTATACAGCAGTAACAAGGCGTTTCCATGGGACTCCCCGGTCTTCACTGCATCTCCACTTCTGGCTTCATGAAGAATCCAGTTTTATTAATAAATGTTTTCACACTGACCTCTTCCCCCAGGTGCAGTGTTCCTCACACAGCATCCTCTCCAGGGGCAAAGTGCACAGATGCTTCCCATGGCCCAAGCTGTCTGTGACTTGGTGGGTAGGGCTAAGGGCATTTTTCCTGGCAGGGTGCACACTGGCAGGCAAAAGAACTGTCTGACTCAGTTGAACAGAGTGGTCTACACAGCAGAACAGCCTCTAGATGAAGGTAGTTACAAGACCTGATTACTGGAGGTTTCAAAACACAGGTTACCCAAACACCTGAAACTATGTGTTAATGCAGAGCACAGATTCTTGGCACTGGGGGGAAAGAAAAAAACCTTAAATACACCTAAAGTTCACAAGAACTGTGTGCCTGATGAAGAACTGCATAATCTGTTAATACACACATAGGCAATTTTCCACTCAGCAAGAAGAACAGATTATACCTAAAGATGGGAGAAAGCCAAAGCGATCCAATGTTTAATGTGCTCTTTTACTTCCCTCCTCACAGCAGGGAAACCCGAAACCAAGATAAAAACCCTTTGCAGGCTATTTGAAAAACACAAACACACACTGGATCAGGAGACGGTTTAAAGTGCACACTTTTATTTTCTATTACAAAGGCTATAAGAAGCAAGTTTGGTTTTTTTCTTTATTTAAGAACAAAAACGTTGTTAAAACATCTACATTATTATCCTGATACTAGACCTTATGAAAGATACTAAGTTCTTTTTTAATAGTAAAGCGTGGTATTCTTAAATTATATTAATACAAAGACATATTAAAGGACTCGAAATCATTACTACCCAGCTCAAAACTGCAGCATCCCCTTGCTATCTTTTCCTTTCGCTTGCTAAAATCCATCCATTTTTGACATACAGTTTCATACAAGCTAAGTAGGGTATTTTCTGTTGTTTGTTTGTTTGTTTTTTTTTATTTCCCCCTGTAAAGGTCAGGTTAACTCCAATGCCAGTGTCACTTAAATCCCTGCCCCTACCAAAGAATTTGGGAAAAGAGTTTCACTAAGTCCTTCAGCATTTAATAAGTTTCTGCTCTGTGTGAATGTCTGTGGTTATTTTACGGGATAGGAAATTTTCTTCTAATGTTACAAAATTAGAACATCACTTCTTTTGTTAATAACCCTCAAATTTGGTTCTGTGCTGCAGAATTTTCTTCTCTCACATGAATGAAGAAGAGAGAGTTATCAGAGTCTTGTGAACACACCACTAACGCAGCCCTACAATTTGTGGTTTATCTGTTGTAGAGCTGTGAGCGCTGAGCAGTTTTGCTAAGAGCACATGTGTGCTGAAGAAAACCCTCTTGGCTTGATAAAGCGAGCCTAAGAAGTCAAGTGTGAACCTTCCTGTCTTTCACAATGTCCCTTTAAATAATACAAGCAAAGCCTTACCATTAAAACTTAACTCGCTAGCTAGCAGTATAATACTCTCTCACTGAGATAGGACTGCAAGGACATCCTAAGGGGTTTCAAAAATGTGAACAGGGAAACCTGTCCCATCTCAAAATTTATACATATCTATATAAAACCCTCCCCTCTTTTGTTATTTTCCTTTCCCTATGCCAAATAAAAGTCTTCATATTTAAACTGGAGATGCTGCGTTTCCTGGCCCGAGTCCTTTTCCTTTACCCTCATTTTAAAAGATTCCTTTGATACCACACACATATAATATTATATATAGAGATATATTTAATACCTGTGTATATATGCTTCATGGGAGGGGTCACATATATACACACTAAAACAAGTCTGGTGACAAAGTACTGCAACACCACAGACCAGGTTATCATATCAGGGAAAACAAAAAGAGACACTCAACACAACCCCCATGACTGTGGGCCTACCTCACCTCACCTCACCTCACCTTACCTTACCTCACTTCACCTCACCTCACCTCACCTCACCTCACCCATGCTCTCCCTCTCCCCACCTCGGCCCCAGCCCGAACCTCCAAAACCTTGCCGAGCAGCTTGTCTCTTGTTGCAGAGATGGGGAGAGGGGATAGCGACACACCCCATAACTTAAATAAGTCCTCATATGGAAATCATGGCTCAGCAAACATTAGAGTCACACTAGAGATGCAGGTTTGTTTTAAAAATAAAAAATACATTCCAATGTTCCCCAATCCAGATTTTCTTCCTTGGCATCTCTGCCCAAGAAGAGCAGAACAAGATAACCCAGGAGCTGATGCCTGCCTTCTCCTGTCTCTGTCTGTAAAGCTGACCACTTGAGCACAAGGATGACCGGGAGAAGGTACCACAAAGGACAGAGAAGAAAATATAGCACCTGACCACTCAAAAACTGCCGTCTGATATTGCTCATACCAAACCAATGACTACCATCCGCATTTTAAGGGAGAGGAAAATAGCTCTGTGGGGAAGTGGTTGAGTTGTCCCAGGAAGTGGTTGAGTCGCCATCCCTGGAGGTATTTGGAAAGACATGTAGATGTGACAATTAGAGATGTGGTTTAGTCTAGGGACTTGGCAGTGCAGGGTTAATGACTGGACTTGATGATCTTTGAGTTCTTTTCCAACCTCAGCAATTCAAAGTGCAGAGGCACATTCAGTTTCCTTAGAGCACATTATCTCTCTGGAAAGACTCCAGACTAGCATGTAGAGCACTCTGTTCCATAACTGGACAGTAACCACCCCAGTGGAGCCAAAGTACCTCCCTGAAGGCTGGTTTAGAAAGGTGACAGCTGCCCCCACAGCATCTGCTGCATTTTCACATCTCCCAATTTCCACATCTCATCTCTCCTGGAGCTGTGAACCCCAATGATATGGGAGCAGGGAGGAAAGAGGGAGACCCAGCAATGCCAAAGCACCAAGCAGTTCAGGGCCAGATTGTATTTACCATGGACACAGCACCGCCAGCCCCAAGGAGTCCAAGACTGCTGTCCAGGGAGACTCTGTATGAAAAAGACATCCCTGGTGCAGGCTAGGAGGGAGATGTGTTTGTGTTTGAGTGGATGGTGCCATCCCTGCATACAAAACTGCAAAGCACAGCTGGACTGCAGAAGAGAGGAGAGGGAAGCTCAGGACAGGACACATGTTTACTGCTTACAGGAAGAGACCACTAGAAAGGACAAGGCTGGCATTCAGAGCAGTACTGCCTCTTCCTGCTGCCACTATAAAAGCCAAAAATCCTGGCCCAGAGCTCACCATCACTGCTTCCCCCATCAGGGCATACATCAGGCAGGGCAGGAGCAGGCACATGGCTGGGTCCCACCGTGCCACTCACTCTCAAACGCTGTCCGTGCCCTGGGTCACGTCCTGGCTGCACTGTGCATCTGCAAGCTCCCTGCCCTGGCTCTGAGGAGGAGAGAGCTGGACCTCTGGTGCTGGTAAGTGGTTCCAGTTGGATTATCATCAGCTAAATATCACCCATGCTCCATCACTGCTCGATGGTGTCCTTTTAAATAGGTTCCCACCCAGGTCTTCTGGCAGTGCAGGGAAAAACACAGCTCTAAGTAACCAGAAGCACACATCATTTAAAGAGCAAAAAGGGAACATCATTACCTCCCTTCCTTCTCTTCAGGACACAAGGCAACACAGAAACACAGGCTCCTTTTGGTTACAGCCTTCCTCCTGACTGATACTGCTGCATGGACTACAGTGACATAGGGTGTGTCACAGACTCCACTACACCTTCTAGATGGGTTCAATCTTATCAGCCAAAAAACAAAACCAAAATTATTTACCCTGAATACTTGCCACACAGTGAGAAAGACATCTAATGAAGAGTCACCAATTTCCTTTCTGGATACAGTCAGCTGGAACAGTCTGAAGTCACCTACAACACAGTTCCCACTGCTGCAAGCAGTTTCATTACTTTGCTGCTTTTACCCGCACTGCTACACCACAGGCTGTTATCTTCCTCAACACCAGTTTATGCCACAGGGCAATATAGACAGCAGGAGTTTAAGCCTAGATGTTTTAAAGCCAGATCTAGTGGTTTTCCTTCTTTGCACCTAAATTCCTAATTCTTCTGGTACTGAACTCCCGGGAGAGCAGGAAGGCTGCAGCAGGATGAGTGGGGTTTGCTCTGCAGCACTGAAAAAAGGAGCACATGAAATTCATGGTCATCTTGCCACCAGATATCATAAAATCATAGAATCATAGAATGGCCTGGGTTGGAAGGGACCTTAAAGACCACTTAGTTCCAATCCCCCTGTCCAAGGACACCTTCCACTAGACCATGTTGCTCAGAGCTCTATCCAACCTCGCCTTGAACACTTCGGGGGATGGGGCATCCACAACTTCTCTGGCCCTTTCTCTCAGCTCTGTCCTCCAGACCTGCGCAGTTGTACTCTGAAGGACAGAGCAGTGACACAAGGAGAAATGCTCTGGTTTGCAGCCCAGTACAAACTGAATTAATTCCTTTGGACAGTGAAAACAAAAAGATGGAGTGGAGGGAGAATTTGGGGGAAAGAAAGGAGAAAAGATGGATCACAAACTCGGTGAGCATGGCGTTTGCTGGCCAAGGAGAATCAAATTCACAAATTCATTCATCACTAATAAATCATCGTCTCATAATCTTAAAACAAAAGAAAAGAAAAAGTTCTCTTTGCAAGACACTGATCTCGCTCTCCCTGCTACTGCCACTCGGAAAACCCACTCCGTATTTCTGCAGCTGACAGGCTCCCCCCTGTCCTTACTATACACCATCCCGCAATAGGAAGTTGTATTTCCCAAAGTCGTCATCCCTGGGGCAGAGCAGCATGTCCTTGCGGGCTTTGGCCAGTTTCTGTTTCAGCACTTCCCTCCGGTCCAGCCACTCCGTCAGTTCGTCCTGGCCATGGGCATAGCGACACTCCTCTCCCTCAGGACAGGCCTTGTTCTTCTGGAACCTGCCAGCACAAGAAGCACGGTCAAGAGGGTACCCCCAGGATGGGGTTATGAGCTCCCTGTCTGGGATACTCGATCAGGACCCACTGAAACATGCTGCGAATTCTCCTTTTTAAGGGTGAGACAATTCTTACAAACCCATGCAGCTGGGAAAAGCAACAGAGACTGGCAACAGAAACAGAGTGATGAAAAGAGCAATGGCTATGAGGGGATTTAGTTATGAGCACAAAACAATGTGAGCTGGACCTGGACCAGCAGGGATGAGGAGAAACCAGTGCACAAGAAAGGAAATGCCAGGTAACCACCACAAAGACAGAGCTTTCTCTAACCAAAATGGCATCTAACCTTCTCAGGGCACCTCAAGGTGATGATTCAGAGGGTGTGAGCATTCAAACCATTTAATAAGGCACCTGGGATTCCCCCACGCGCTAGGCCAAGTTGGACTGTTCAGCAGCCAGAGAGCTGAGAGCATCCTGGCTATGGAGGGCACAGGTGCAGACATGAAACTTGCTCTCCTTTTCTAAAGATACATGCTCAGGAGTGTATTTTTATCCCTCAGTATTGTGGCTGAGCACCTCTGGGATCCAAAAGCAGCCTCACTGTAACCCAAATCCATCATCTCATCCCACTCCTCCTCTATGCAGAAGTCTCTGTGAGAGTGAACTCTGTGAGAGTGAACTCTGTGAGAGGATGAGGAGGGATGACAAAGGTGCTGGGCCTGTTACCCCATCCCTGCAGCAGCAGCACAGGAGGGAGATGAGACAGCGGTACCTTTCGCAGAGCCGGAATTCGCCCATGGGGAAGCGGTAGGTCCAGCAGCTGGAGTCACTGTCTGAGGTGAAGACCTTTTCCTTGTGCTTTTCCGACTGGATGTGCTGCTGCCATTGCTTCTTGCTGTTGCTGTTCTTCCCGCAGAGCCAGCAGTGGTAGCCCATCTAACCGGTGCAGACAGGGCAAAGGGCCAGTCAGTGTGCTGACATTCACATCTATCTGCCTTTCCTGTGCTGGCACTGCCTCTCCCCCCTCTCCTTCCAGAGCATCCTGGAAACTCCACTCAGTCTACGACTTCCCCCACTTCTCTGCCATGTCATCTTCAGGGAACTGTGCTGTCACTAAAGGGAAACTAAGGAGATGCTCTGTTGGCATCTACCTATGGCCCAAACAGGCTCAGCAGACAGGACAGCTCAGTTCACGGACATGGTCCCCCTGCCCCTGCTGATGGCCCCAGTGGGGTCTCACTGCAGGGTCCCCAGGTGCACAGGCAACACAGGACTCTTCAGGAGCACAAAGCCTTACACCAGCAAGGAGTCTAAGGAGGCACATCTGCCTTTAGTTTTCCAAGGCTGCTGTGCTCCCAACCCAGCTCTTCTCCAAGCTTCTTCCTTTTCCAACAGGCCTGTAATGGTTTTGCCAGCTTGCCCAGGAGCAGGCAGGAAGCCTGGAGAGAGGCTGAGCCCACACAAAAGGGAACCTAAGGTAGACTCCTACTGACTTGAGGATTAACAGAAAAGCCATTGCAGAGCCTTGCTGACCCCAGGTCAATCTCTTCTTGCCTCAGCTGTGCTGCCCTTGTGCTGCTCCAAGCCATCCATTTAACCTACATTAGAAGAGAAATGCAGCCCCCACTAGCTCACACCTGGAGCACAGGAGAGCAGCAGGCTGTCAGCACTGAGGAGGAAGAATACAGAACAAGAGATCAGCTGATTACCATGATGTCAGCATAGTCGGTGGGCATCTGGATCTGCTTCTCCCCTTCTCGCGAGGTGAGTGGTGTTCCCTCTCCAGGCTTCCCAGGATTGTGTTTCTTTAGCCACATGTCATAGGTCTGCTGCATATCTAGTACTGCACAAAGGTGACCCATGAAGTCACTCAGACAACCTCCCACACCATGCACAAACTATGAGAAAAGGACGAACGCTGGGGCAGCCCTTCCCTCCCCTCGCCCGCGCAGCAGCAACAGACCGAAGGTCTGCGCTTGGGAGGCCCCATGTCACCTCCTCAGATGAGACCCCTGGGGAGAGGAACCAAATTCACATGACACCACCTGGTATGGGGGGTGTCTTCTATCAGTTGAAAGGCAACTGTGACAGCAGCTACACAAAATTGTCAAGAAGGTAGGAAAGTGCCTCAAGTTCTCCATAGAATTCACCCCACAAGACAATTCTCCATCAGGCCTGGTTCTGCTTGACATCAGAAGACATCTCACTCCAGCCAGGAAGCTAAGGCTGGGGCTGGTTTCAGATCTGTCCCTTTCCTCTAAGCCTAAGCTTCATCCTCAGTGCTAGAGAGGGAAGAGAGCCCTTAAGCAAGCTGGCCACAGGAAGCATTGAGGAGGGGAGAAAGACCTAATGATAGCTTGCTCCAAGTTCATAACCTGCCCAGAGGACAACAGTAATTGTCTCTTGTGGCTTTTGGTTTAAAACGCACTCAGCAAACCAGTGGGAAAGGAAATTTGAGGTGGAAGCTTTAACTACGCATCTGCCCTTCCCAGATCAGCTCCTGAGAGAGCCTATGGAAACACAAATGTATGGAAACACAAATGTTTGCAGACACCAATACGATGCTCTAAGTGCAATGCATTAGTTATTTACTCCTTGCTCAAGGGGTAATTGAGGAACTTGAGGCAATAGGAACTTAAGAATAATGAATGCAAATTCCCCCCAAGTGAAACAACACTGTCCTTAGAAGATTCACCTTTGTGCTTAAGCAAACACGCCCACACTGGTCTGATGTGCTTTAAAGGCCTCAGCAACAAAATGATTTGAATTGTAACAAGTAACAGTTTGGCCCAGCAGAGAGAAAGACCCTCCATAGAATCATAAAGACCAAACAAACTCAGGGCAGGCTTGAAATCCTTTAGGCTTTTCTGCATCTCCCACAGTGGCAGGTGAACACCTGGACAACTGGTCCTTTTTCCCCAGCTTGCTGTTAGTCTGAATAAACAATGATTGCTGCCATAGCTGGCCATCCAGGACACAGGCAACCCCCCAGCTATCCCCCAGATGGTAAGCTGGGAACCTGCATAATTAAATAGAGACAAATTCCTCCAAAAAAGTCACCACCCAACGACGTTCTCGTTCAGGATGTCAGCTCCACCCCTTTGAGTACAATGCCATGAGTAGGGAGTGCCACAGCCCAGGAGCAAGGAATATGAAGTGAAACAGGCAAGAAAGCCAAGGCAGACAGAAGACAGACAAGAGAGATACAGGAGCAGCTACAGGCCAGGACTGGTGCTTTGGCAGAGCTCCATACAGAGCCAGGCCTGGGACTTTACAGGCAACTGGAGGGACAGCACAGGGTGGATTCAAAAGTGCTGCAGAAAGAGAGGGCAGGAATGGAGCAAAGCAAGACATGGGACCAATGTGCACAAGTCTCAGAGCAAGGGACTCAAATATACATGCACATTTACAAAAAGAGCAGCTCTAAATTACTGTAGACAAGACCTGTCCCTTAATCCCACCTAAGCTCATGGGAGCAGCCCTGTCCAGCTCCATCTCTGTTGTCCAGAGTATGTCTTAAAAAACCCTGCATCCACTCCCCAAATGCCCTCTTCCCTCTCCCTAGACTCTCTGGCCCACATTTCCCCACTCACTTTTATTTTCTTTCATGAAGGTCCACATGTCTCTCTCCTCAGGGCTGTGGGCAAAGGAGCAGTTGCCCACATACTGGCATTTCCTGCCATTCTGTGCATGGATACACAACTGTTAAAAAGACAGAGAGAAAAATTTAGCATCAGCACAAATACTCCTTGGTAGAGGGGAAAGTGGGTTCAATAATCAGCTGGGGCATTAAATTGCACACAGGAAAGGTTGCAAACACGACACTTCATACATCATTAACTCATGCTTCTTTTCCTCAATCTTCAGATGACATAAACATGCAGGCAGCTCAGTTCAGCACCTGTTCCATTTCCACAGGTGACCAGGTGCAGGTACAGGTCAAGAGAGCAGGGAGCAACCTGGGTTGACCTCATAGTGTCTCCTGCTGGTCAAGCTGCTGGCCCCCAAAGGTGACTCATTCTCCAACCATCTCCAAGTGGGTGAAGAGTGGCCTTACAGGTTGCTTAGTGCACCACACTAGTGTGCACATAACTTTACCTCACAGCTACCAACAGCATCAGTGCCAGAGAAAAGGAGAAGTTTCCAAGCATCATATTGACTGATCATCCCTTCTCCCCCAGTCCTGGCACCACAGGAGGACATATCATAGGGTAGGGGGAAGGAGCTTCTCCTTTCAGAAAAAATGAAAGAAGAGGAAGAGAGAAGCTATCTATCACCACATTTGGGGCTGGGGTTGGAGGTTAGATATCTGTAACTTTCCTCACAGCACGTGGCTTTTTTAGCTCTTCTTTGAGTTTTACTTTCAAAACCCATTGTGAGCAAGTTTCACAATCTACAGCAGCCCAGCCACAGCAAAGGCAGGGACTGGCTTCTCCTAAGTGTTTCTCCTCTCACCCATATTGAGAAACCCTGACCTAAGGGGACACTTAAATTTCATTCCCAAACCCTGTGCCAGCCAGAGATGCACTAACAGTTCTTGTTATGCTTTAACAGCAACTTCAAAAACTCGCATATGTGCATGGAGTGGTTTAAATGGGTGTTGCTCCTTCTTCTGCTCCACCTTTTTGCTGGATGTGTTTTGTTGCCATCGGTCTGTCCTTACCTCCCATCTCAGCCTCCCTGCCAGGCCTGCAAGGGACCAGCCCTCGAAGCTGTACCATGGTGGAAGGGAAGGGGAAGGGGCATCTGGCATGGGGCTTACATCATATTGCTGTGGGAAGTTGCGGGTGGGAGGCAGTGGTCGGACTGACACCCACTTCTTCTTTGCTTTGGACATCACCAGCAGGACACGGCGTTCCTTTGTCCAGCTGAAGAAGAGAGAATAAATCAAGAGAGGCATAAGGAAGAGCAGAACAAGGGTTCTTTACCTCAGAGACCCTTAAATATTGAGAGCTGACCAGATCCTGCTGTCCAGCTTGTCTCTGCACTATCTGGTTGCTCCTAGACATGCACATCTGTGATGGAGAAGCTACAAGAAGGGTGTTTAAGGAGGACTTCTCCCTGTACATATTACCTATTTCCTAGGATATTTTTTCTCAAAAAGCCACAAAAATCTCCCCCAAATCTCACATGACATCACCACGGATTACTAACCCTTTGACACAGCCAATTCTTGTGCAATCAGTTTCATGAAAAACACTTGGGAATATTTTCTGCTTGAAAGGTGCAATAGAAATGCAAGTTGTTACAAGCACTGTCTTATGGACAGGTGCCAGGAAGTATTAATTCTCCTGCAGCTCCAGCAAGTGATTACCAGGAGAAACCCTGGGCAAAAGCCCCAGCTCTATTCAGCAGCTGCACAAAGAGGTGTTATTTTTCCCATTCCAGGAAGCAATCCTCACCTCCTCATTTCCTCTAGAAACTGCTGCTTCTGTCTCTTCTTCAACAGAAGTCTTACATTTCCAATAGTATGCTGGACTGTGCCTCTGTGGCTTGTGTTATGGGAAGAGAAGTCCTATAAACCCTTCCATCCCAACCTGACAGACTGCCTGGGTGAGACAGGCCACAGTTTTCATGACCCAACAGTTACTTCCCAGACAATATTCCTCTTGCAGAGGGCTTATAAGAAAGATGGGAATAAATTTTTTAGTAGGGCCTGTAGTTATAAGACAAGGGGTAATGGCTTGAAACTGAAAGATGGTAGATTCAGACAAGATATAAAAAAGGAACTTTTTATGATGAGGGTGTTGAAACACTGGCACAACCCAGAGACGTGGTGGATGCCCCATCCCTGTAAACTTTCAAGGTCAGGCTGGACAAGGCTCTGAGCAACCTGATCTAGTTGAAGATGCCCCTGTTCATTGCAAGAGGACTGAACTAGATGACCTTTAAAGGTTCCTCTCAATCTGAACTGTTCTGTGATTCAATAATTCTATCACACCAAACATTCTTATGGGCCCCAAGGAGCTGAGAGGTGCAAATAGACATGACATGCATCACAGAAGAGCAATCAAAGCAATGAAAAAGCCAAGGAAACTAATTCAAAATCAAGCAGAATGCTTGAAGAGGGGTGAGGGAAAGAGAAAGTTGCATTGCTCACCAGTGGCGGGCTTTGGCACTACAGTACTTGAGGTCTTTATCTGGCTCCACCAGCTGCCCATTCCTCCAGCACTGGCCACACACAAATTTCATCTGGAGGTCAAAGGTGCTTGACGTGGGAGTCCGAGGAGAAGCCTGGGGAAAAGAACCACAGTCTCAGGCACACAGAGCCAAAATGCACTCCCCAAACCTGCCACAGTCATGCTGGCAGCTCCCCGCACGCCCATGTGCCAGCGACAGGCCAGATTAAATCAGAGACAGCCTAGCTCTTCTTTGCCAGTGTTAGCTGGTGGCCCATTGAGATTCCAGACAGGAGCAAAACCACTGCTTGCTTCAGCATGATTTCCTGGGCTTTGACATCTGGCTGAAAACACAGACAGTCTGACAGCTTCCAGCACTGACCAGGCCTGGCTGTGAAACCCCTGCAGCCTATCTCCGCGTACAGATAAGCTCTGTGAGACCTGCCCCAGCACTTATCCCCACTTCCCTGCAGGGAGGGCAATCCATGTCCTGCTCACTGCTTGTAGAGAGAGCTTGGTCACACAGCTGAGAGAGCCCCCTCAGGAGGAAGCCAGACCATGCCACAGTGCAGGATCCACCACTCCTGCTTTTGGACCAACAGGCTCATGCCATATCTACCATTTGACACCATGAAGTCAGAGCTGGGTCCTCTTGTTGATATCCTTCCAAGCCATTTCTGGGCAGGTTTCCATCTCTCACGGTTTCTCTGCACTGGGTTTCACAAGCAGGTAATCACAGTCTCTGGACAGAGGTACAATGCATGTATTTCACACCTGCTCAGCCACTGCACTTATTGATCCCACCATGAGAAGGCTGGTTTGGGATTATGACTAACGGATTGTGGAGAAAAAAAAACAAACCAGGAGCCAGTCCCATATCACTGCTGCCTCATGTTTTCTGAGCAAACCTCTGGAAAGCTGTTTGCATTCTGTATCACCCCTGGAAGACATAAGGCTGATGTCTCCCGTTCACTTCCAAACCAAAGAGCAAACCCGACTGCATGCCAGTGGCCCCGGGCCTGGGAGTATGTGAGAGTACAAAAGAACACCCTGGTCATCCAGCTGGCCATGAAGCACAAAGGTCATGCACCAGTAAAACAGTCCTCTGACTGCAAACTGCATCAGCAGCCCGTCCCACCTGCCATGCCTCGGCTTCTAACCCTGAGCATCTCACAATGAGCAGACATTGCAAGTCATGCCCCTGAAGAGCAGGATTCTGCCAGCAAATGATTAGCAATAGCATGGACCCTGTATACATCCTCTGACAAAGGGAAAACAGCAAGCACAGGCAACACAAAATCAAAGCATCTCCGAGGAAACGCCACATCAGCTATTGACTACCACTCTGCATCCTCCAGACCTAGTCTTTTGCAGAAGCAGAGCTGACATATAAAAAGTCTTCTGTCACTGTGAAAAGCTGATCAGAGAGCTGACCTTTGTCTGTGCTGACTACAAGAGGCCATCAGTGCTCTGATGTCCCAGCAAAAGGACCCTACTAGGGAATCAGCATCTCTCTTGAAAAGCAGCAGTGATTCTCTGCTCCTCTGTAAGACAGCCTTTTTGGTGGCTCCCAGCACATGACTCATTCACCTATGCTGGTGATCTGTCAGCTTCCACCTGTGCTGGTGACCACCAAGAACACATCAAAGTGGCTGGTTGTGGGATGAGTAGAGTTGAGACCTGGGCTATCATGGAAGGCAATAAGGTGCCTCCTTCTGAGATGTGCAGCCTTCAAACAGTAGTTTTAATCTCCTCTTGGTCTCCAAAGGAAATGACACTACAGCTCACTACTCACCCATCAAACCTATATGCCTAAGGTAACAAAGTGGCACTGCTGGCATATTCCTTTTTATCAGTCCCATGCTCTCCTCCTGGTGACAGATCTCTCAGCACAGTCAGAAAGCTTTGCTCAAACCTACTGACCCAGCAAAAATAAAAACTGAGTGGCTCCAGAAGGGAAAATAGATCAGAGATAAAAAGAATGTCTCTCAGGTAGTTCAGTAATCTGGGCTGCTTTTTCCACAAATTCTTAACCAAAAGAAGCCCCATGCATTTCTTCATCTGAGTCATGCAAACTGGTGATCAATCCAGTGGGCATGTATGCTCCCAGGATATTAGGAGCCAAGCAAAAAATCAAAGCTGCTGCTGTTAATTCTACATGACTGTATTTGTAAAGGCAAGACATACCTGGCAGGCTGCTGATAACCAACAGTGTGGAAATTGTATCACATGAGGCAAAAGTGCCATGGGCTATGGCACCACCCCTTGCTATGAAGCCAATATAGTGTTTGCTATACACCATGACAACCAAATAAATAAAAGTCTTTGGCATGCTCTCCACTTCAGGCTCTGCAGAAAGCAACAGCCCCAGCATGGCCACTCGTGTCTCCCAACTTCAGGAACCTGTCTCAGTCTGGAGGAGCCACATGCCTCAGGGGACTACATGAGGAGCCCATGTTACTCGGCCACACAACTGAGCAAGCTGCACCTGGGGGCACGTACCCCTTATTAGAGACTTTTCTTTCCTCTCCATGCTTAAATTAATAATTCTGAGGTCAGCTTTCATGGGGTTCTGCAGCTGGCTAAGGGAGTAAAAACAAATTAGCCCTTGAAAACCAGAAAAAATCACGGCTACAACCCCTCAATTCACAGGAATGCTATGGGAGACACCCAGCTACCTACAACAGTCCCTCCTGCTGATTGCCCCTTCAGTCTGCAGCCACTGGGTTACTCCCACAGCAGCTTCTATGGGACCAAATTTGTGGAGTCAGGTGCAAGATTCCTGGCAGGTGCTTAGCAAGCAGTGTATTTTCATCTTCCACTTCTTGCTAAGCCTCCTGACCTGCTCGCAGCTACTGGGCTCCTGCCTGCTGCCTGCCTCTTTTCTCCACAACTGGACAGCCCCAGCTGCTAACTGAGTCCAACTGGCAGCCGTGACAAAACTGCAGCAAAATCCCCCAGAGCGACCTTGCTTCCACTGACCAGAGGGCACCAGGGTGACAGTGGATCACACAGGATGGTGGGAAGGAGGAGTCTGTTTTTACAGCACTCCTGGGAAGTTGTCTTTGCCAGGCAGCCAACTTTGAAAGCTGGAAGGATGCTGAGAAAACTCTGAGTCACGTTAGCCTGCTTGGACAGGAGAAAACAATGACAAAAGTAAACATCTCTCAACAGATAGTTAGCCCTGCCCGCAGGGTCTTCGGCAGCAAGCCAGGGTCTCATCCCAAAGCACAGCTCTGTGGCTCAGGACGTGCTCATGCCAAAGCCATGGTTTGCTATTTGCAAACACATGCATCTGACCGACTTGACTGTCTCCCTGACCAGTGCCAGTGCCAGGCTGCCAATCCCCACAGACAGCTGGTGCTGCCGCTGGTAGGCATTTTCTGACCATATCAACACGGCTGCTGTTTCGCCTCCACACCCTGGAAGGGTCCAGCTCTGTGACAGGCATTTGTGGGGTACAACCAGACTTTGCCACTGGCCATCAGCCCTAACACTGCTCACAGGGCCAAGAAAGTGTAGCTCTCTGCCCATTCCCTGATGTAGCAGGCTCTGGCATTTTGTTTCCTGATCCTCTGCCCTGTGCAAGCCCCAGCAGCCAGAAATGGAACCCTCACTCAGTATCCAGATCCCACGTGCTTCAGAGGACGTGCTCTGACCATGTCTGCTGTTCAGCTTGTTCTTCCAACAGCAGCACCTCCAGACAAAGGTGAATTTGAAGCTGCAAGGCTTACAGGAAAAAAAGCTGTCCGTGTATTTTTTTTATCCCCTCATTATGCACAGAGAATGGCCAGAGAGAGCTTTCTGGAAAATGCAGGTAGATCCACAGCAGGCAGGAGAGAATCGGTCTCTAGACTGCGCTCCTGGGGCAGGCATTGCTGATACAAATCCAACTGCTGTCACAAACTGCTGCAAATTCACGCTTAGTTTCCTTCCTTGTGGAGATGCAGGCCCCTCCCTCTGTCCCCACACCACACAGAAAGAAATCACAGCCAGCTCTGTCTGCAGGAACCATTCAGATCATCCAGGCTCACTTCTCATATAATATAGGATGTAGAAACTTGTCTTTCTCAGCTTCCTGAGAAGCTAGAACATATTTCTTAAGCAAGTCAGTTTTGGGAACTAGAGACCTTGGTTATTCTGAACTGCTGCTTTCCATTCCACTCCCCCACCATTTCAGACCACAACAGCTGCACAGGTTTGTTGCTGAGCATCCCCTCAAAGATGACTCCATCTCATGCAGCATAACCAACACATACGTGGACACAGAGCCCACTGCAAGCATCAGTGCAGCCACCTGCATCTTTCCTGTTGGGCTAAGCCATGCTCATCAGACCTGCTTTTCCCCAGCATCAGGGCCCTATAGCCTTTAGAACACTTCTGTTGGCCCACAACCTAGACAAAAACCAGCTCCTACACACCACATGAGTGACTCAGATTCCTCTCCTATAAAACGCCTCTTCCTCAGGATGCTTACAGACTGCATTCAGTGCTGGTCTCTGCAGAGGGACTCCTGGGTGACAGGTTCCAGATGAAGGTGAAACACCCTTGTTTTGACAATAAGGCATAGACCAAGGGGTGGTGAGCTCAGGCCTTCACAAGAGGAAAGAAGGCAGTCAAATGGGAACAAAGAGGATTCACAGCACTTTCCCCGCTATTCCGCAGGGGAAAGAAGTGCTCCTATGCCTGAGCGCTTGCTAGGAGGCATGAAGTTTCTCATCTTGTCAGACATATTTTATGACAGTAATTAAAGAATGAAAAACTCCTTGTTTTAATGGCAAAAACTGCTTTAGTTCAACCTCAGGGCTGGGAATTGCTCTCATTGGGTGGGCTCTGGTCCTACACTACAGAGCTCCCCTTTGGGGAAAAAAAAGGGTAAGGCAGCACTGCCCATAACCAACAAGTTGTAAGAAAGTAAACAAAAAAGCGCCCTTTGCTTATAACACACCTCTCCAGGGAAAGTTCTTGGCAGTGCTGGAGGGTGCAGCCAGAGGCATCCTCTCCCACACTGAGAGACTGGTGGCACAAAGGCAAAGCTCACAGCCTCCTCCTGGTAAAGCACCATTAAAATCTCTGCCCAGCCTCAACAGCATCTCAACAGACTGGAAGTTCCACCTACTCCTGTATTTATATCAGTCCTGTGGGTCGAGTCATTTCTTAGAGTCCTTCAAACTGCTCTATCGTCCCTTGGCCACTAAAGGGCAGCAGGACACCTTTGGTCCCCACTCTGTGTGGCCACAGTCCTAAAATCTCCCAATTCCACTAGCAAGGTGCCACAGGAAGCACCATTCTCTGTGTGTTGCCCTGCGTATCCTGGAGGATTCACCCCACCATGGAACAAAGCAGATAACAACGCTGCAAAACAAGGCACAAAGCTCAACACCAGCACAGCAACTGGGAAAGCTCTCAGCTGTCTTCCTCCTCAATGGCAAGCCTGGGACCTATCAGGCACAGTAGTGAGAGGGAAAGGGAGAAAGGGCTGGAACTCCTGGGAGCAAAACCAGGCTGCAAGCCCTAGATACACCTTACTTACCATGCTGTTGGCTGGTTTGCTGGCATGTGCCTCCATCTGCTGCCAGTACTTTTTAGATTCCTGCACGATATCTTCATGGGTCATTCCTGGGAACACAAAGGAGACAGAACTGAATTACCTTGCTTTGACCAACACAAGAGAGGGGTTGCAGGACTTCTTACATTTGGGCTTAGTAATCCCTGAGTGGCTGACAGCTTCTGACAGTCTCCCTGTAGTGTCAGGACATGAGCTGTGAGGGGATCCATCATGGAACATGTTTAATCCCAGGCTAAGGAAGATCCTCTCTCTACACAAGCCAAACAAAAGGAGAAGAGTTGGGTCTCTTGAGTTTCTGCTCAGGCTGTCTGCAAAGGACCCAGCTGCTGCCTCTGGGACAATAATTTTTCACTAGGGGTCAAGAGCTTGACAAAGGCTGTCCCTGAATGCCATATCAACAGATTCTACAGAGGCTCCTGAAGACAATGCTTTGTTACCATTGATCTACTGTATAACGGAGTTTTTGCCACTAGGTCGGAAGATCACAGATATCCCAGTGAGGCATCTAGCACCTACAAGACCCCGGAAGTCTCACCTATTCCAGGCTGGGATTAATTAGCCTGTTACACCTTCAAGTTGATGGGGCTGCCCATCAATTAGTGGGCAAAGCAGAAAGTTGAAATTCAACATATACAAACATCAAGCACAACCAAGGCAGCAAGGAAAGACCAACAGTGCAAAACCAACCAAGGAACAGCTGCTAGTATGTAACCAGCAAGGAAAGAGCTGCAAGGTTTCAGGTATCAGAAATGCAACATCAGACAACAAAAAGGGTTAGTCAGACCTTATGTAAGGAATTAACTCCTGACCAGCTCAAGTGGTGAGGGAACAGCCTCTGTTAGCACCAACCAGCCAGATGGGCCCTATGACTCTCAGAGCACTAAACAGCAAGAAAAAACTGTGTAAGGGTAGGAACTGTTTGGTCAATGTGAAGACTGTGACAAAAAAGCCCATGTTATTTAAGTGCTATAAAGACCCAAGATAGCTGCCAAAACAAACTGAAGCAAATATCTTGCAACAGCCAGCTGACTGCAACAAGCGGGGTGCTGAGGATGGCCTTGATGCAGCACCACCAGGACACAGAGGTTGCAAAACTGATCACTTTGCTTATGCCTACAGCTTTTATTACTGAAGTGAGGTGTTCCCCAGATATACTACATGGTCATGATCTTTGATCTGGGAGCCAGCATGTTCCAGAACTTAAGGGCCACCAAACATAAGTTTCATCTCAGCTTAGGCTGTATGTAACTTGGATAAGTTGCATCATTCCTGATCGCAGTTACCTCCGGCTGTTCAGGTCCCTGCCAGGCAACAATACTGCCATTTGCACAGGGCTTGGACAGGATGAAAAACATTCAGGGAACTTTACTATTATTCAAGAGCATTTGCTAATGCCTTTAAAATGGCAGCTGCTACACAGCTGGTACTGCTCGCAGATCAGAGCTGTTTGTAAATTTTCTCCTTTTTAAACATTAATTCCAGAAGAAATAGTGTAGAGTTAGAAAAACTGCAACTTCTTCTTTCGTGTCCAAATATTCCAGGGTTGGACACAATGCTGATCTGCACTTTGGGAACAAAAACTATAAAACTGGGAAAACCACAGGAAAAAAGTTAACATGCTGCACTGGACTTGGCAGGGAAAGGACCAAAGCACCTCCGATCTTCTCCATTCTGCACACCTGCACTGTGGTCCTTGGGGTGCAGAACCAATGGGAGAAGCATACACAGGTCTTGTCAGAAGACTGAATTTCAAATTAAATTCTTAGCAAGTGACTGTCTTCTTTCAGTCCCAGAAATTTGAACTAACTCAACAATACAGTCTAGAAATGTGGTGGCTGGGGAAAAAAAAACTCCTCCCAAATGTGAAAGGATGTTTGCCAATCTACCAGCTCTCCAAAGCATGAACTGTCACAAAGAAATGATCTGGGAACCAAAAGGCCCATGTGTTGATTACTTATAATATTTCAGTATCTTTTGAAACATCATTAGTGAGGACAAAGACTCTGATTTCCACTGATGGAAGAAGATAGCAAGATATGTCTGTGAAAAGCCACAGCGAACAACAAAACAGTCCTGTCTATCCAATTTTCACATCTCGGGAACCTTTGCTCCACTAATATGATCCTTTATCCTCATGAACAAAGCCAAAAGCTCTGTAAAAGCTCAGATGGCTGTGGAATGTTTCAAATGCTAGCTGTTATGAATGATGCCCTCTTCCTATTCTTGCTAAGCAAACAGCCCTCAACTGAAACTCTCTACTCCAAAGCTAAAGCATTCTTAGAGAATGGCAACAACTATCTTTCATCTCTGTTTCCATAATGAAGGCTACACTTAGGAGAGGTAATAAACTACCACTCCAGGAAGGCAAACTCACAAGGAGAGCAGGGTCATATATACAGCCCTGCAGAAAAAAACCCACAAGATAATGGCTCTTGCATTGTTGGAAAAGATGGAAATAAGCATAGGGCTTACTGACCACCTCTGCAGCTCTTAACTCATGGCTTATTTCATCTCCTCAGCTCCCCTTTTGAAATCACTTCTTCAAGTAATGAAGGTAAGAAGAAAAAAATCAGTCTAACTATTTCTTCTACAGGCTGAAGAGGAAGGAAGACGGAGGGAAGAAGGGAGTAAAGAAACTTTTCTAAAAAAATCCCCAAACAAAATAACAAAAATGAACCAACCATGGGGTGGGGAAAAGAGCAAGGTGCTTGAATATTAGAATGCCCAGAGTACTACAAGCAGTATCATAAGCATATAGGGCAGCAGTGGTGGCCTACAGCACACAGGCAACGTGTTATCTTACAAACGCTGGAGTTATAATTTTTTAATTTTTGAGGCCACAAGTAAATGAGGTCAAACAACAAGAATAAAAGATGGCATTTGGCATAGAGCCACACTTGTTCATCACTGTCGCTCATGAGCTGAAGCCAAGGCCAAGGACTGAACTGAACATTAGTTATGACATCAAAGAATGGTGAGAAACATCCATAATGTGCTTCCTTTCTGAAGTACTCCCATTACCCGGCTGGGTGTTGCACTAAACAAGAGCCTCTGATGAAAAAAGCTGTAGGTAGCACTGTGGGCGGACCAGTATCTACACAGTCAACAGGAGAGCAGCCAGAGAAACCCTCCAACATGTCAGTCAGAGACAAAGGACCGAAAGTGCCAGATGTGGCAGTGTCATTACATGAGTGCCCTGAATATACTGTTTGCAAAAGTCCCTTCAGAGGCATCTCATCAAAGGCTTTTTGGGAAACACCAAGTATCTTGTCATTTTCCACTGTTGATGAATTTGTTTTGAGAAACTGGAGATGCACAGCCTTCCTTTATATAACTAACTGCTTTGTCACCTGTGCATACTGCCATTCTCACTGCAGCAGATAGTCACTCAGGGGTCCAACTGCTATTTGCACAAGATTTAAGCACCAAAATACCTTTTAGGATTCAGTTCTACCTAATAATAATTTTAATTCATTCAGCTGGTCCCAAGGGATAGGCTTCCTGGTCTACAAATTATAATAGCACATGTAAAGGGACAAGGGCCAAATCACCTCATAGAACACCTTGGTCCTCTCTTCTGTGTCCCTGAGGAGGCAGAGTAAGTATATGCACAGGCAAATGACAACCTCTCAGTACTCCTAAATCACCCTCTTCCCCTCTCAACTGGCCCTGGGTACACACTGGAAGAAACTCAGGTATACACAACACCAGCCAAGTCACACTCACCTGAATATTGCTGCAGCAGCCAGACCTTGAGCTCAATGAAACTGTGAGCAAAGTGGCAGCTGTCCTCACGAAGGCAGCCATAACGCACCTCATGTCGGCACACGTCAAACTGGAAGTGCTCTTGGAACTGACGGATTTTGGAATATTTCAGGGAGGTGGAACGCACAATGTGGACCAGACACCTGCAGCCAGGCCAGAGAAACATGAAGCACCAGAAGATCAAACCCTCCCCACCTCCTCCTTTCATGTGACATCCAGACATTTGACTGGGCAGGCAGAAAATCAACTCTGGGAGAGAAAGATTCCCTCTGGAAAAAGCAAGCCCCTGTCCTCCTACCCTATCAAGCCTGGGTAGGTACTTTCAATCTCCTCAGCACATGGGTGATGCTCTGCTTTAGTTCAGAGATCAGACACATTTCAAAATATGCAACAAAGATACCAACTCCTCAGGCTCAGCAAGTCCCGAAATCTCAGGATGCCAGGGACCAGGAGGAATTGTATAACTATGTACTTGACATGTTTGTTATACTTGTTTTCCTAAACATTCACTACCAGCCAGTCACAAGCAGGATCCTGAGCTACAGGATCTTTGTTTTGACCTTTATGTAAAGGCCAAACTGAAAGGCAAATTAAGTCAATGGAAAACTTGGTATACTGACACCAAAGGGCTTTGCTGATGCCTGAAATCCTTCAGCACCAGCAGCAAAAACACAGGGTGAAGCCCACAGTGCTATTTATCATGCTTTGAGCTGCCCTATGATTGGAACCCATGGGGAGAAAAGAAAGAAAGAGACCAGGGCCCTGGAGTTAAACTGGCTGGACTTGTGAGAAATTGTTCCCATCAGCACAAAAAACTGTTCACTCACTTGTTGTCATGGAAACTGTGCTTGGCAGAAAGGTTGGAGCAGACAGATGGTGTGTCCTTGGTCCCTTTGCTGATAATCCGGGGTTTGCTGTCAAAGCAAATCTGAGAAGAGAAGAATTAGCATGCTGGGAAAATCTTAGAGAGCAGTAAACCAGAGCCACTTCACTTGGAAGAGGAAGAAGAACCAGAGCCAGCCTATTCTAATGTTCGAAGTCAGAAAGAAGTCTGGTGAAAACTTTGTGGTAGGGCTTTAAAATAAAGCAAGTGAATTTCTGGAAAAGCTTCCGGACAACATATTTTGGCTTATTCTCAACAGTATTTTCCATTGTGGTTGGAAAACTTTTGGTCAGAGCCACATAATCTTTCCGTGTTAGCCAACAGAGCAAGAACAAGGGGGAAATGATGGGGAGAAATAAAAGAACAGCCACTTCACAGCAAAGAACATGTCCCTTTACATATACTGCCAGCGTGGGGAACTCTGTGCTGCAGAGCATCAGGATCATATGAGACAATCCTCAACTGACCAATTCTGTGGCTCTGTACAGATATCAAATGGGAATTTGTTGCATTAAGAAGTTTTGATTTCTAAAGTAACTGCAGCTAAATTACAATTCGAAGCAACATCTCAAGACAGAGAAAGAGATGGGTGATCTTATGAGGCTGTGAACACTTGGTTCAGCTGCAGGGCTAAGGAAGAAATCTACTTCTCCTATCTCCTACACAGTAATTGCCCTCCTGGGAGCAGGACACTGGCTGGGACATAGAGAGTCATAGATGGCCCGCTCCTGCACCTTTAAGATCTCCTTCTTGAAGAGTGCCCAGCCTTCCTGGACTCCTTTGCCCTTCAGGACTGCCTGCCAAGGGACTCTGTCAACCAGAATCCTAAACACGCCAAAGTCTGCCCTTGGGAAGTCCTAGGTAGCATTTCTGCTGCCCCCCTTGTTTACTCCTCCAATAACTGAAAACTATCATTTTATGATTGCTGTGCCCAGGTTGGCCTCCAACCATCACACCACCCACCAGTGCTTCTCTGTTCACAGACAACAGGTCCAGAAGGTGCTTTCCCTAGTTGTCTCCCTCACCAGCTGTGTCAGGAAGTTATCTTCCTCACACTCCAGGAACCTCCTAGACTGTTTCCTCTCTGTTGTGTTGTATTTTCAGCTGAAGTCCCCCACAAGAACAAGGGCTAGAGATTATGAGACTTCTCCCATCTGCTTACAGAATAATTTCTCTGCCTCTTCAGCCTGGATGGGTGGTCTGTAACAGAATCCCACCATGATATCAGCCTTGTTGGCCTTCCTCCAGATTCCTACCCATAAACACTCAACCTTATTGCTGCCATCATTAAGCTTTAGACAGTCAAAACACTCCCAAACATGCAGGGCAACCCCACTGCTTTTCCTGCCTTGCCCATCCCTCCTGAGGAGTTTATAGCCATCCATTGCAGCACTCCACTTGTTCGAGTCATTCCACCATGTTTCCGTGGTGGCAACTATCAACATATCAATGAAGGATGCTTGCCCCCTCCCACCAGCTCTGTACCTCACAGAGGAAGGTGAAGATGCCCTGATGTTCCTTGAGGAGCTTGGCAATTGTGAGGTTGCTCTGCTTGATCCCACCTAGCGGGTCAAAGAGGAGGTCACGGTTGAGGGTCCCCTTCCTCTCCTCCGTCCACACGTCGATCTCTTCCTGGTGGTACGCGAAGGTGCAGTTATCCCCGTACTTACAGTCCTGCTTGTTAAGCATATCTACAAAGCAACAAACAGCACACACCACCACACAAGCAGGGCGGCCCAGTCAGAAACTAAACTCTCTCTCATCTCCTCCCACTGCCCATGCCTCTCAAGGAACTGAAAGCAAGAAAACAGAGCTGAAGAAAAAAGAAAAGACATCTCCCCCCAAGCTTGTCTATATCAAGACATTCAGGAAAGTTAATGCAAACTACTGAATGGTGACAATCTCAAGTAACGTTGCTGTTGGGGAAACCATCTCAAAACAGAGGCCAGCTTTAATTCAGTCCCTGGTAAGGGACAGATCATGATTTAAGTAACACTAATCCATATTAAGTTCTCCCATAGGCCCAGCACTAAGTAGCCCTGTTAGCTTGGCTCCTGCAGTCTCCCCACCTCACTCAGTAGTTTGTAATGGCACTGCCTCAGGGACCAGTCTGGTCACACTGCCTGCACGTACCGTGGGACGGCTGGAGCAAGGGAACAGGTAGAGAGTGCTTCTCCCTAGGCAGAACCACAGGCCTACCCTGGGGCAGCTGAGTGGAGTGGGACTAATGTGAGCACTTGTACAGGAGGCAGGTTCACAGTAAAGCCCATGTCAACAGGGAAGCTCTGAGCACTTGGCTATGCATTGCACCTCACTGTGCCTTTGGAACTCTTCTGCTCCACCACTTTAGAAGCTGCCTGCTCTCCACAGCATGGCAGCTAATTGCCCTTCACTCTGCCTAGCCATCCAGTCCATAGGCTACTGATGGGACAGGAGACCCCAGAGCCAGAAGGCAACAGTTGTAGATATCAACTATAATTTCCCTCCCAGCCTCCCGCAGCACACAGTGAACGGTCCCTTCCTGGCCACCAACTGCCCCAGATCACCTTTGCACAGGTAATAGGATCCTACAAAGTTGGTTTTTGTTGGGCGAGGACGGATCCTCTTCCAGATCTTATCTTCCGAGTTCTTCAGCCTGCCCAGCAGGATGTCCCGCTTGCACTTGTGCTCCAAGCCTTCCCGATAGGTGTAATCACCAGCCTTGGGCCCTGCAGGAGAGAATAACCTCATCAGCCCAGGGAAAGCCAAATCCTAGCCTGGGCCAGCGCTCTGGTGGCAGAGCAAACGCATCACCTGTTTTGGGGTAGCAGATATGACAGGCTTGCTTGAAGACGTGAGTAGCTGCCAGTGGGTTCTTCACTAGCAGGGCTGTGTTGGGCATTACTGGTTCTGGCTGGGACAGCAGGTGCTCGGTGACCTTGGGCACAGCTGGATGACTCACTCCACCAAGGCTGACCTGAGAGAAAACACATGTACCTCTCTTTTCAGCTCTGCAACTACCTGGGCAAGAAACCTCTCTAACCCCCTGCCCCACTCCAGTCTCTCAAAAACCTTTCTCATTTCCTTTCTCATAAAAGTGCTCACATCTGAAATGACATTTCCAAAAGAGCTGCATGCAACTTCTTCAAAGAGAACAAACACTGTGGTATGTTCACTTCAAAGACAGGCCTCTTTCTCTATTGGTAAGGGATCTCAGTTTTCTATCATGAGCCACAGAACAAAATGCCCCCCTTGCTCCTTCCCATTCCTTCCATCACAATAAGCTCTCCACTGAAAGGCTTTTAACCCTATCCCAACCTGAGAAAAAAACCCAAACCACATATCAGTAAATCTTCAGGGAGATTCACGTTGATGTTAATAGGGCTAGCAGATGACAGAAACTCAAGAATAATTCTTGCTCTAAGCTTGCTTAACCATCTCCTTTTTCTCCAAACTGCAGACATAGGACAGAGACAGAACAGTGTATCTGGAGAAGTCTCCTGACAGGGCCAGAGAGCAGCAAAGAGCCTCAGTAGCCTGAAGTCAAAGTTGGCTTACTCTGCCCCATCCTTGAGCGTTATGTGGCTGCCAGATACAGTGAGACACCAGTGTCCATGATCCCCTGTTGACCCTACAACCAAGGCCACACCATGTCTACCCCATCAATATGAAGTTACAGATAAAAACAAAGATGGAACAAAGGTTTTCCTACTGACTGGGGAAATCTTTACCTGCCTTGCCACGACACGGAAGGCAAAACTCACTGGGGCAGGTCAAGGAGAGGGGCCCAAATTACCTACATCACCCAAGTCACTACTACCTTGGCTCCAGAGCACCCTGGGACATCAGCAGGGAGGAGTAGCTCACTCACCACGGGGGATGGTTTTTGGCTGCCAGGTGGGTGTCGCAGTTCCTGAGAGCTAGTTTCTTCTGGGTAAAAGAAAGGGAAAAGAGCCCCACAAGACAAATACAATCATTTCACTTTCAGAGGCAATTCTGCTCACAAAAAGACAAACAAATGCTTATTAAATCAATTTGCTTTATTTATTTCATAATATTTTAATACTTTATCCCCAAAGCAGCTGTCTGGACTTGAAAAAACTCCAGGAAAGGCCTTCTTGTCCCACAAATCTACTGAACCCAACTCTATGCTGCTGAGCACTGGCATTCCCAAGGTGGCAACTCAAAGGTAAGCCAATGCTGAGGTGAATGTGAGTGTTGAAGGCTGGCTGTCCAGTCTCTGCTGTTCTCAAAATACTTTTGCTGCCAACATACTGCAACACTGGGGACAAGCTAACCAAGAAGAAACCTGCCTTTCCTCCTGGACAGGAAGGCACTTTTTGCCCACCATCCTCCCCAGCTTTTCTACTTGTGACATCAGAGTGCAGAGCCTCATTCAAGAGGACACTCACTGCCCTGAATCCAGAGATGGGAAAAACCCACCTCAGCCTCTACCATTCTGCCCAGCATAACAAGGTCCTGCATCATCTCAAACAGTCACCATGACTTTGCTCACTTTGTGCAAAATGAGGAGGGGGGAGGAAGCATGCTATAGTCCAGCAAATTGTGCCAAGGGAGGTGTCCTGGACACCGAGCCAGGTTTAAATCTCACCATTCATCATTATACACCTTTGTGTTCCATTCTCCTCTTTAAACTTCACTCTGTGCACGTACTGGTTGTCTGGGATTACACACCTGACAGCCTTTCTCATTACTCCTGAGCTAAACATACTCAGTTGCTCTTGTCCAAGACAACTCCCTGCTCTCCTCTACATTTATATTCCCATTCTGCCACACCAGCAGATAAAGCCACATGACGGATGTTCTCAGCACTGAAGGAAATAATTTTGGCGTGCATTCGCAGCTAAGGCAGCATAAAACCCCGTCACTCTGCACCTACCAATGGCAAAGGAATCCAAGGCATCCAGAGACCCTCTGCTTGTCCCAAAGGAGTCCAGGGCATCGAGCCGTGTGTCTGTGTAGGGAAGCAGATCCAGGGAATCCAGCGAATCTAAAGTAGAGCCGCCACTTCCTCCTGGTGGGGCCTCGAAGGCATCCAGGACAGAGGAGGAGGAGAGCTGCTTGGTGGGATCCATCACCAGGCCAAAGGAGGCGGGTGGCAGAGGGGTGGAGACAGGGATGCTGGCTGTCACGACTGGAGGCAGCAGCGGAGTTCCCCCCGGAAACACAGGAATCAACTGGGGCATCTCGGTTGGCAGATTGGCAGGAATGGTGCCCTGGACCAGAGACTTCGGGGAATCAGGAAGGAGGAGGATAAACAGCACATTAGGAATGAGGAGTAGAGACTTAAATCTGATGTCCTAGTTTTGGCTGGCACAGAGTTAATTTTCTTCTTAGTAGTAGGTACAGTGCCGTGTTTTGGATTTAGCATGAGAATAATGCTGATAATACACTGGTGTTTTGGTTGTTGCTAGGTCGTGCTTACTCTAAGTCAAGGACTTTTCAGTTTCTCATGCTCTGCCAGCAAGCAGATGCACAAGAAGCTGGGGGAGAGCATGGCCAGGACAGCTGATCTGAACAAGCCAAAGGGATATTTCATACCACAAAACATCATGCCCAGTATATAAACTAGGGAGACTAGATCAGAAGTCACCAGTTGCTACTCAGGGATGGGCTGGGCATTGGTCAGTGGGTGGGAAGCAACTGGATTATGCATCACTTCATTCTCTTGGGTTTTATTCCTCCCTCTCTCTCTCCTTTTCTATTATTATTATTATTATTGTTATTATTTTTATTATCATATTTTATTTTGTTTCAATTATTAAAGTGTTCTTATCTTAAACTACAAGTTTGGATTTTTGATTTTTTTTCATTATCCTCCCCACTGGGGAAGGGGCAGGGGGAAAGTGAGTGAGCAGCTGCATGGTACTTAGTTGCTGACTGGGGCTAAACCATGACAACAGAGAGCAACAGGCTCCCACTGAGGTGCGTGCTATACTATCTGAAGCAAAAGGATACCTGGCAGCTCAGTCCACCACAGACCTTCCAATCTATCTATACTGCAAACAGTCTGGACCAAGATCCCTGAGGAGGTGTTGGGCTACCTGAGCTCATCAGTCTGCAAGGCAGAACCCTGTGCTGGGCACTTAAACCACCTCAGGCTGAGAAACAGTGCAGCTGAGTACACACTGCACCAAGGTCAGGGTAAGGACCATGACTCGTGGCACCTCCCATCAGGGCTTTTTGGCTCAGAGGCATCCAACGTGAATGTGATTATATTGCCTCCAGACCTAAGCTGGCTCACATAACATCAGCAACACTGGCAAATAAAATCTAACATAAGTATGAATACAGACTGCGTCTGCAGCTTCCAGACCTGTTCAAAGAGCATAGGCTGAATGCAGTCTGCACAAAATACAAGAACCTTAGAGCATGGCCACTGTATAAAATACATCCATCATTCCTGCTTCACCCCACTCATTTCTACCCTCAGACCTGCTTCAACTCCTCGACATCAGAGGCCAGGTGGAAGAAAATGTCCGAGGAAGGCTACCTAGGGTACACTTTGAGAGGCAGCTCCATGAAGTTGTACATGGCAAAACAGGCTTGGAGGAGGGTTCTTTAGATACTCACAAGCCACTTGCAGAAATAAAGGAAGTAATGAATGGGTTTTGCCAGAGGAAGAGTTAGGAGAAAATAATTACAAACAGAGAGAGGCAGCATGCATATCCTCATGCTCCAGGGACATATTTGGAACAAGAAGCAGGGGACCCATGCAGTGCTGACTCTTACTAGAGGGTATGGTGACCCTTCAGCAAGGGAGTCCAGGAGGGAGTCCAGTTCTTCCCCAATGATGTCCCCATCTGTGAAGTCCTCCACGCTCTCAGGCACTGGCAAAGGTACACAGTCTGGAGATGGGAGCAAGCTGGCAGCAGGGAGCGAGGTAGGCAAGCCCTTTGCATCTGCGTCAGAGGGCAAAGGGGCCAGCCCATCATTCACAGGGATGGAGGCGGCCACAGGAGTCGGGAGGCACTGCAGGTCCATAGCGCAGTCTGTGATGAGAGAGAAACAGAGCCAGTCACCAGGAGAGCCTCTTGCAGGAAGCAAGCAGAGCACAGCCTGGCAAAAACAATATTGTACAACTCCACAAATCACAAAAACGAAGTATGCCAATTTTTCGAGAGGAGAGGCTCTAGTCTGAAGAGTACTTGCCCTTTCATTTTTGTTCCCGCTCTCCAACGGCTCACCAATAGCTGAAGTACATTCTAAGGGCCAGTGCCCAGTCTGACTGTTGGGATTTGGCAAGCAGTACAGTAACCAGGAACAACACAAAATCTGTGGCTGAGCAGCTACTGAGTTCACTGTGGCCAGGACTAAAGGCCAGGGGCACATAATCCGATTTCTCTATAAGCCACCACCTGGTGTTTCCTTTAATGTTCCTCACTAATACATTTGGCAGAGATCACTGCCTTCTCTAGTCCTTGGAGCTTTGATATCCCAGCTGAAAGTCTGCTTACTTGCATACACCCTCTCTAAAAACCCAGGCCTCCTAAACAGCAGAAGATAAAAAACACAAGGCCCTGCTGAGAAAAGAGTCAGAGACTGAGTGCTCAGATCACGTTATGCTATCAATGTGTCCCCAGAAATCCCCATCAGACTCACTCAGCTGTCTTTACCTAGGTAAATTCCCTGCTCCTGAGTCCTTCCTGATGTCTGTAGCTGGGAGGTGGCTGCCCATACTCCCCCTCAACACGTGAGCAGCAAACATCCCCTTGGGAACTTGTGAGAGCCAGGAGAGAGGCAGTGATTTTCCCTAAGGCTTCTTTCCCTCTCCAGTACACTACTGAAATGGTAAGATGTTCCCATCATGCAATATAAACCTCTGTTAAATGAAGTTAAGTTACAAGCACATATTTTTCAAAGAAGAGCATTTTATTCTCAAAAAAATTAAAGGTTAAAAAAAAGAAGTTCGAATGTTAGAAATTTGGAAAATGCAGTATTACATTTGCAGTTCTCAAACCAAGCACCCAAACTACCTTAATTCTGCCCCTGTGTAGATGTCCTGGAATAAAAGAAAAGAAATAAGACAAAGATGCTACCTTCTCCACCCACATCCCAGAGGCTGCACTGTAGCTGCAATGGTCTAAGGCTATAAGCAAGGCAAAGTTTGGAAGGAGAGACAATAAATTTTATTAGAAAGACTGATAAGTTTGGGAAAGAAACTAGACAAGCTTTGGAGACACAAAACTTGATCCAGCAAGAAATACCTCCTGTCTGCTCACTCAGTCCCCACAAGAACTCGGCCATCCCTTTGTAACTGGGACTGGGCGAGCGAGCCCTGTTACTGTATCTACAGCGTGTGTTCAGTGAGGAATGTGGTGGTGCCTTTCTTAGAGAGCTCAGCAAATAACCAATTGCAGCAAACCCCCAAGTCCTGAACAAAACAACAGCAGACAACACACACAGGCAGGCCCCCTTATCTCTAGCCCCACCAGGAGCACAGCACCACCCACTGCAACCTTTCCTCCAGCATTTGTTGTGAGTAGTCCATGTGGATGGACCACAGCAAAGGTCACTGTACAAGGCACTGGAGGCCAAGCTGTGATAAAAGGCAGGGAAAGCAGGGGGAAGTGGCAAGGAACAGACTCAGGCACCCTCTCCACATCCTCAAGCATGTCATTGAAAGAACGCACATGTTGTACCTTATGGGATCCAACACAAGCTTTCAGTGCTGCAGCTGAATACATTTCCCACAGGCAGCAGCTCAAAGGCAGGCTGTATGTGTCCTTAGTTTTGCAACTGCCCCTCAGACCAGGCTCGGCTCCAAGCCCATGCCCCCTTTGCGATGACTTCTCTCGGCTCATGTCCCTTTGGTGCAGAACCTCCATCTGCACTCGGGAGCCAGCCATCCAGCTTCCCTCGGTGATGGCCTCATAGCTGGCAGCTCAGCCAGATTCCCTGCAGTACAAAGGGATGGCTTGTGCCTTCCCATTTTTCAGATGTTTAAATCTGGAGTACTGTCAAGATCCCTGCAGAGGCCAACAAGAAGTTCAGAACACGCTGGAAGGGATAGGGACACATTCAGCAGGGAGCAAAAGGGTTCACGATGACAGGGCCCCAAAGGATCCAGCAGTTCAGACCTTCTCTGAGGAATGAATGAGGCTCTCCAGTTTCCATTCAGACTGGGAAGCAGAGAAAAGAGGCCCTCACACATCCTAAGAGGCCCCAAATCCAGAAAAGCTGAATGCACAACCAAAAGGCAGAGAATAACATGGGACCCCCCACAGCACAGTGCATGTGAAGGGCAAGGAGAAGAGCAGGGACCAACAGGTTCCACTACTTGCAAGGAGCAGAGGGGAGATGTCTGCTCCCCTCTCTGACCACCCCTGTCATTCCTCCCACTCTCCTCTGTCCAATCTTTTTTCCCATCCCTCCTTTCCCACTCCTGCTTTCCTCAGGACACCCCACCTGCTGACCTTACCAGCCACGATACCCATATTTCATGTACTCTCCTTACAGAAAGCTCATACACTTCCTGCATTCACCTAATGTTTGCTCCATCTTCAAAAAATAAAACAGCTTTCTTTGATGAGTAGATCACAGACACACACCCCCCTCCTGATTTCTGCCACTGCCATGACACTAAGCTCCAGGTATTTATTATAAGCTCAGTGAGGGTCTTGTCTGTATGCTCCCATGAACCAAGTCTCAAACCAAGCCCTCCCATCTGGCAGTTTCTCTGGCCATATACCTGTCTGACCCAGAGGGGCAAGTACAGAGTTTTTAAAAGCCCAGTTTCTAGCTCCACTTCCCCAAACAGCAGTGGTTCCCTAGTGCATTAGCTAGCCAAAGGCCATACTGAGCCAGATCTGAGCCATGATCTCTGCAGAACAGGCTGAGTTAATCAGATCACTTCAAGCAAAACATGGAGGAAAGGGCTTGAACAGTTTGGATCTCAAAACCAAACCAAACCAACAACAAAAAAAACCCTTGCTAAAAAAGCTTAGAATCTGAAACTCTCAAGGTTCCCAGCACCCACAGCCCTCCTGGTGGCACACCACTCTCAGGTCAGGGGGATAACACATAATTCCAGTGCTTTTGAAAAGGTTTCCTAGCAGTAAAGGCTTTGTCTGCCTGAACTGCAGCAAAGGTGGCATGCTGCTCTTACACAAATCGTAATTAGATAAAGAGCTTACTGGACGCAGACACCCTGTACTCTATAGTAGGAGTCCAATTCATTTCAGCACTGCAAGATAATGTGAAAAACTCTCCTTAATTCACAGAACTGGGTCTCATGATCACATGTAGCATTCAGCTGCTGAACTGGCATTCAACAGAAAACTAACATGTTTCCAAAAGCACCTTAACGATGAAATTAGTTTCTTTCTATAAAAACAGCCATTGCAGTGGTAAGTCCTCACACTTACCCTCACACACAGGTAAGTGTGTTCCTTACCTTTTGAAGGAACAAAGAGGGATGTGCTCAGAGGCACAAGCTCAGTGCTCCAGCACACAACAAAGGGCAACACACTTAGCAAGCCTTTCTACAGGGGCAGAGTTAAGGTCACTTGTTTCACAGCATGAGAAAAGCAACCTTGTTAGCCCTCCTTCTGCTCCTCCTGGGTGCCTAACCCTGAACTCAGCTCTCCCTGGTCCCTCCCAACTCCTTTTGTTTTCAATTGCTCCACCTCAACATCTTGGAGTACAATACACACTCAAAGCACAAGCGGTGCCTACAACCTTAACTTCACTTTATCTGGACTGTTTTGTTTGGGAGCAGAGCTTCAGAAGCTTTGCCAAGCTTCAAGAAAGCACAACTGGAGAGAGCTGTGTATCTCAGCAAACCCTTTTAATTCCCAGATGTGTCTCTCACTGGGCCTGGCCTTTTCTGCTGAAAAAACATTCCTGCTTTCCACCACCTTTCGCTCTTCCTTGTTACCAAAGCCAGGAGTGTGCAGAAGAGACACAAATGCAGGGATGAACCTCTCAGGCCTGCCAGTCTAGTCACATACCTTTCTGAAGCCACAAAAATCTGAGAAGAGGGATATTTTTACCTGTTTCGATGTCATCTATCGAACCCAATCCATTGGAAGTAGTCTGCAAAGAGGATGTAGGAAAGGGGAGAGAAAAATATTGTGATAAATGAATCTTTAAACAGATATCCACACTTCACAGATGAGATTCTTTACTACTACTAAATGCATATGACCCCTTCTTTTCCCTTATGGCCTCTTTCCTTGCTAGAGCAGTAAAGGCAATGAACTTTAAGAGGCCATTAATCCAAGGAACCTATTCGTTTTTACCTTCATCCATGTACAAACCATTCTGCTGCAAAGAAATACCATCCCTGCGCAATATCCAACCATTTGAATAAATCCATACATAGAGGAGTGTTTTTCACGTGTGGGTGAGAATACTGTGTCCCAAGTCCCAGGATGCATCAATCGGTCAGCCCCCAGCATGGGAGAGCCGATTAGCCTGATCTTACGCAACGTTCCTTTTCTTAGTTCACATATTTTGCGATCTAAAACCCACAAACTTTTACAGCAAACTCAAAACAGGAAAATGTTTCCGCCAAGACAACTGCTGACTTGGAGCTCCAGGCAAGAAATAAATTGAGTCCATATTTTACGGAATCATAAACAGAGGTGTGCCTTTAGCTTAAACTTAAAAAGGCACAAGTAAAGCATTTGTCTTGAGATATTGCATCTACTACAATAGTTCTTGCACTACTTTCAATTCTTGCAAAAGGAAAGATTTTCAAATTAAAAACTAGGCACAACCATTAAAGAAAGCTGACTGGCCTTCATAGAAAGATGTGAAGGCAAGGCACTGAAGCATGAGAGGTAAACTAATTCTTTAGTATCCCACCTTATTGTACAAAATTACAATGTTTACAGTTTTATTGTTTGTTTGCTTTAAGGAGCAGTGTGAGCTACCAAACAGCCTGTAAAAACAGCAAGTGTTTAGTTTGGTTTGTTTTTACCCAGTGTTAGAACAACGAAATCCGCAATTTCTTATATTTTACCTTAGCATTTGTACAGTGCCCTGGTCACCTGGATGTCCCAGGACAGTACAAAAAGTACATAAGCTGTGTATGTACCTCTCTCAGAACATCACAGCATTTAATTTGTATGTTTCTTCAGCGGTTGCACTTTCTGACTTTTACTTAGCACTGCTGTTAACTACATAAAAACTTGAAAATGAAAATTTATTTAAAATGCAAGAGAAAGCAAACATTCACAATAACTAAGCAAAATGACCGTTTTCAGTAATCTAATTACTGACAACAAAAATGCTGTCACTAGAAATATTTTCAAAGAAATTAATTTCCTTGAAAATATTCCTTAAAAGTGGAAAACTAATTAATACAGTTCAATCCTAAAAGATCATTACAAATTTGCATGTAAACAAAACTGCAAAGCATTCTAGTAACACAATCCATAAAGAGTAACAACCACAGGATGCAAACTCTACCTGGTTTGATAAATTGATTGATGTGCCATTACTGAGTAGTGAGAATGTTTCCAATTCCTGCTGCAAGGAAGAGAGAGGTTTCAGAGCAGAATTCAGCCCATGAATGCTCATAAACTAGGCAAAGCTGGGTTACAATAGAGTTTCCTTCCAGGCATTGCCCCAAAATAAATGCTACCCCAAAAGGCTGTGGCACAAGGGTACATGTTCCTTAACACTAAAAAGGGACATAAATTTGTTCTGTACACCTCAGAACATCCGACACAATCAGGAAGCAAAAAACTTCCCTGAGGAACAGAAGGTTGTTTCTTTTTATTAAGAAATTACTATTTTAGGAAGGTATTACAGTGTTGGAATGAAAGCTGGAAGTCAACAGAAGAGATTGCAAAGTTATCAAAATACCAATCACTAAATTTCAAATAATAAAAAGCATTTCAGAGTTTTTAATTTTTGTATTTCTCACATACAAGTGGTTTAAGCCCATCTCAACTGAGTAACACGACAACACCAAAAAAAGGCAGCAAGGCCAACACAGCAAACAGCTACAAAAAGTATTTCTGCAAAAAGCTTCCCTTTCTTTGAGACAGAATCATTTGGGAGTGTTGAGAGCTTCTACAACATCAAGGAGTTTTTTTCAGGGTAGGAAAATCACATGTGAAGTTTGTCAGGGAAAGGATTAAAACATTATAGTCAGATTTACCCAAAAGCTCTCTGCAAACTTAATGCCCACCAATCACTCCACTTCATATTACAAAGGTGCCCCTCTGGAGATGGAACACTCCGGTTGATTAAGACACCACCGCGCATGGGGCCGAGGATGCGAATGCAAACGTCGGCCTCCACTACCAGCTTATGTTCCCTACTTCTGACAACAAAATCCATGACCGAGGCAGCTTTATGGGAGAGCGCTAGCAGTGGCCTGACGCCCTCTAGCTCCATCGCAGGGTACACATTTAAACACCTACAGTACTCCAACTACAGCAGCAGTTACTTGCAGAGCCAAGTTACAGATCCAGCCAATGGTGTTAAGTAGCGGACCCAGGACTCGTTTTTTGCCTCCTTTCCTGGGATCTGACCGGATGTGTACCTGCTGCTCTCCCAAAGCGCAGGCCTTTCCCCCACCATGAAGTGTACACAGGCTAGCAGCCTGCAAGAGGGTTGGCAGGGTGGTGTACATGTGTCTGCAACTGCAGAGCAGCACCTCCCACTTCTGCAAAAGTAAATCTGCATGAGCCAAAGGATACCCTCTAACCAAAAAGAAGTCCTACCTGAGGTCTTTTGTATGCTTTTCGAACCCTCAGTCCCAGCTTCTGGGCAAGTTCCTGTCCCAGTTGTGTGACGCTTTCATCCTGGGGACAAAACCATTGACAGGACACTTTCAGTTTTGTGGCACACAGAATGAAATAAAGAGGAAAGCAGTTATGCACACTGGGCTGCACCAAGAGGCCTCAATTTTTTTAGACAGCAGCAGGTGGGCAATTCCCAGAGCAGCCCTAGGAGAGTCCAGGCAGACCTCAGCGTTCTTGTCATTGAGTCCTGCCAAGATGCTGCAGTTGCACCAAGAGCTCTGCCCTACACTCTGCAGAAGTCCAGAGTGAATATTCAATGCTGCAGAAGATCAGAATCAAATATCTGCTTCCAAAAAAGCACCCACTCTGCAAAAGCAGGGTTTATGAGTCCTGCTGGCAAGATGGTTGGAAGAGCTGCCAAGGCTGGCTGCTAGGGGCTGATACAGCTTCTTCAAGGTCTCCATGCCTGGGAAGGAGCCTGCACGTCTTCCCTCTCTGCTAGCTGCAGAGTTAATAATCAGTTTTGATATGCAGACTATATTCACTAGCCTGTTTTACTTGTTTGTTTGTTTCCTTGTTTTTAAAGCTGAAACCAAGCCTCAGTTTCCAACTTACTAGCTAGAAGGCATTTTCACTGTCTTCAGCTCCAGTGAAACTGCCTCAGCTTAGTCAAGCAGATCCTTTAGCTTTCCTCATTGTGTGCCATTTACCACCCTCCCTGCCCAGTGCCCATGCCCACTCACACACCACCATGGGCTTTCTGCCCACAACCTTCTTAACTTATACCAGCAACTGTTTCCTTCTGCTTTCCTCTCTCTCCCTGTTTGCAAAAATATCAGAGTACTTTAACAGTTTCTTTGAAGACTTTCAAAGACTGATTCTATAACATAATAATAAATGAAAGTTAACTTCTTGTGTGGAGGTAGATGCATTTTTCTTGTAATAGCATTACAGTGATGGATCAGAACCAAATTTAGCAAACTTAACCAGTGCTTACTAGAACCTGTGTAATCAGTCTGGTTTCCTGTTCAATATTTGGCCTAAGACGACGCTCAACAAAAGCGTTATCAGGAAAATATTTAGGTCCTAGTATATGCAGATAGCTCCCTTTGCATGCAAAAATTTACACACCTGTGAACATAAAAATAACTATGACGTGATGTCAAGGACAGTTTTGCATGTTCCTCAAGAAATAAAAAGCTTTTTCAGCTTGCCTTAGCAATCAGTAAGTAAACCGTGAGACATTTTTATCCAAAACAGGAAAACTATATGTTTTCCTTCCAAAGCTCCAATTCCCATTTGTCCCATGCTCCTAGCCATTCCCATTAGAGATATAAAAGCAGCCAATTAAAACATTCTTATGGCCTCAGTTCACATTTTGTTAGGGCAGGGTTTTGCTCTTCACAAACAGGCCACTGAACCTGCTGTCACTAACTGGTGTCTGTGGCTGGCACTATCTTTAGAAGTGACTTGGACTGAAGAAACATGGGAGGACAAACATCTTTGAATCAGAGAGACAGAATTTCTGAGCATAAGCATGCTCTCAGGAACAGCCAAGCTTCTTCTTCCACTGTCCCCTGGCCTCACACTAAGCATGTTGCAGAGAGGAAGGTTGTGAGCCACAATACTCAAGCTGAGCTGTATGTCCAAAACTTACATGTGGGAGGGACAGCAAGCATCGGCTATTGCACTCATACGCTTCTTTGTGTCTTCCAAGCTCATTTAAGGAGCGGGCTTTCCGGAATAGCGCTCGTATGTTCTCCTTGTCAAGACTTAAAGCCTTCTCACTGTCTTCCAGTGCCTTCTCATACAATCCCTGCATGGAGGAGACCACCTGGAGTCAGATGTGGCACAGCAGACTAACTCCTCCTCGTGTATGAATACAAACGTTCTATCTCTCAGTAGAAAACAGGAATATAAATGGCAGTTGGAAGTACATATTTATTACCTCGTGCACTGACCAGTGTACAAACACACCTACATCAACAGAACATTTTGTTAAATCCTGCAAACCTCAAAACACTTCAAAGTCAGTGAATGACAGAACTAAGGCTGCTTGAGCAACCTTATCTTCTCTCCCCCTCTACCTTGGCCATGTTACACTTGGCAGTCTTTAATTATGTGACCACTTGCAAATTTTCAGGGGACAGCCTCATTATGAACAGGATGGACCTGCTCTGGAGTTATGCCATAAAGGAAAGCTGTTATATGTCTTAGTAAAATGGAAGCTTTTTAGAGCCTGAGTATTTCAGAATCTTCTCCATGTGTGTGCTGAAATTTCTTTCAAGACCCAAAGCCTTCTTACTATCTTCTAGTGCCCACTTGAGAAGGCAGAAGCCTCCAGAGCAATACTCAGTGTTCCAGAGAAATGCTTGCTCAGCACTGGAAGATACTGGATTGTACTAACTCCTCATCAGTGTGGACCAGAACTGCACTGTCAGTACCTTAGGCCTGGCCCCATCTCCATCACATCCTTCCTCTGGTCTCGCAAGACACAGTGCAATAGTGGGGTGATATCAGCGTTTTCTGTGTGTCATCATCTCCTCCAGTGTTCGACCAGGGAGTGGACAAAAACAACTGAAATCCCTCCTGACATCTTTTCCAACTGCACAGCACTGCAACTGTGATGTCCTCCCTGGTTTCTGAGGATGACTTGGGAAGGCACTCACCATGGCAAAGTAGCAGGCAGCTCGGTTGACATGTAGCTTGCAGAGAAGTTCCTTTGGGATGGTCACCTCATCAGAGGCTGCATAATCTGCCACATTCAGCCCTTCTACATATTGTACCAGTGAAAGCTTGAAATCCTTCTCTCGAAACAAATCATTGCCCTCTGCAAACAAGTTTCTCACAAGCTTCTGCAAAAAGGCCTGGGCAGCAGGGAGAGAACAAGTAGACAAGTGGATATTCAGAGACAGGAGAGACTTCCCAATTTCCCATTCCTTTCCACATGTTTTAGCAAACTTCTTGCCCACTAAGATGCTCTTGCCTTCCCACTCTCATGTAAAACATCAATTTTTTTGGTAGAGGAGAATGATCCAGTCAAATCCCCACTCTTCTTGAACACTCAAGTGGCTTCTCCTTTCCCTGAAAGCTGTCATTGTCAGAACCTTAAAACTTTAAGTCACAGACAAATTGTGACAGACCATCCCACGTTCCTCACTTTTGGTATGTAAACTAATGGCTGTGCAACAGAACAGATCTTGCTATCCAGAGGGCTCCCAACCTCAGTAAACAGATTCTCCATTACCTCATAATCTTCTTGACTTAGGGGTAATGTGGACCTGAAAAAAAAGAAGAGAAAATACTCATGAAACAGGCATTCATGCAAACAAGGGCTTTTGTCTCATGAAGGAATCATCTTTCTGGTCCTCTGTTAATGATCTCAGTTACTGAACATTTTATCACTGAAAAGGCAGCTGAGGCAAAGAGAACACAGTTGGGGAGCATTAGACCATTATGCTCAGTAACGGTCACAGTGGTGTCAAGTGTTGGTCAGGTCTCAAAGGGACTTGAAACTAGAGGAATCTTATTCTCAGCTATTTTCTGTGCAATGTGTCTGTAACGTGTCTTCAATCATCTAAGAAACCACATCTTTGACAAGTCATGTGAGAGATTGTCAAGAAGAATACAAGTGTATTTTATGTGCATCTGGCTGTAATGAGAGGAACCAGATTGGCACTCCAAGACCTCCCCAAATCCTTTGTGAAACCAGAGACATACAGTGATACATGCAATCATTTTCCTCTGCCTTAACTTAGCCACATGCCTTTGGGTCTACCCCACAAAAGGAAGGGAGAAAACAATGCAGGTTTAGGAGGCTATTTAACTCCAGCTCTGTTGGCCAAGGCTGTGCCACAAAACTGGCAGCGCTTGCGTGGGTAACACCTACCCCACAACAGCACTGAGACTTAGGAGAAAGGTTCTGTTCTTCAAATTGGACCATCCAAGTAACTCAGGCTTGGTCCCCATATATTTATTTTTCCTCTTCAAGGAGAAATCAATAGGCTCTAGAGGAATCCTTAGCACCTTTCATAGCCTTTCTCACCTGCAGTGCATACATGGTCTTACTGGTTACAGAATAAACTTTTTTTAGATTTCATCTGACCACCATCTACTCCTTAAAATTAAGTACAGGAAATGTCACGGCTTTGTAAGAAACATTCATGCTGCTTATAAACTTGGGCTATCTCTTTTGCACCAAAACAAACCAACAAACAGCACTGCCCCTGGTTCAGAGTTCAAGATACACCCCAGATGCATGAACAACACCTCAAATTTCTAAATTATTTTCTTCCTAAGAATCTTGTGCATTTTTGTAAATGCTACCAAAATAAACCTCACAATTGCCTCTCTGAAACTGAGTTATCAGCCCCATTTAGTCTCAGACTGGGGTGAAAATATCATGGCCACACCACAGGATATAAATATCTAACATGGAAGATGTGGGGGTTTTTCCTACTGTAGAGGCACAGACTTCAGCCACACTAATTGCAGGATGCAAAGCAGTCTTAAGAAGAACCCAAATCAATCTCATTACTCACCATGGAACCTGGACCTGAGTTGGAGGCCCTTGCTAACTCAAACATTGGAGGGAAAAAATACTACTGTATTTTATAAGGAAGTACTTGGACTTTTAACTATTACATAAGCAACCACTTTAAGCTCTAGAAGGCCACATGATATTCATAGAAGAGTGACCTGAGGCATCTACCGGGCTGGCAACTGTAAAGGAGCCCAGGTAATCTGTTCCTCCCATAGGCACCGTATGGGGTACCTAACAAGTTATTTACCTTGCTTTCCCCACCTACAGAATTGAAACACTATCTCTCTTCCTAAGAAAGGTGGGATAACCTTGTTGAGAGAGCACTTGGAGATCTTCATGCTGAAGATGAAGTAGAAGGTCCAAGTACTATTAGCATTATGCTGACTATAAAAATCATCCTGGAAATGCAATGGAGGGTAAAACCCAAGGAAATTAAAATGACAGAATTTAAAGCTTAGGGAGCTGGCAGGGCAAGGAGCACCCTGAAAAATCACAGCAAAAATCCTCAGGACAGTATCTCTTTCCCATGCAGAAACCCCAAAGCAGTGAATAGGAAGAACTCAGTTCCTGCAATCCTCAATAGAAAGACAACTGCCTCCAAATCCACAGGGAACATTGAGGTTGTCCACTTACTGAATGAACTGAAGTCCTTTCTCTATTTCTTGTTTTCTCTTCTGTCTCTCCATTATACTTGCTGTGGAGGAAGAAGAAAAAGAAACAACACAAAATGAGTCATTTTAGGTCTTGTTGGCAATTAAACAGCACAGTATTTTGTTTGTGCCTGAATTTACTACTAACAAAATGTTCCAGAGCAGATGCCCTGAACAGCAAAGCCCGTGATTTATCCACGCTACAGATACAGAACAGCAAGCAGCTCACTACCAAGTATCTGCTTTTTCTCACATGCCACTGATAGGATACATGGGCAAAGAGGAATTACTTCAATTTGAGCTCTCTGCTTAGGCTGCCAGTACATAAAGCAACGGGAACCAACTGTTATCGTGATCGCCTTCTAGGAAAAAGAAAAAAAACCCAACAACATTTTCTCTGCAGTGGCAGTCATTCCAGGAATTTGTGCTGAGACCCTCCCATGTAAGCAACTCTGACCAGTATTTACCTGGGACAGATTTAAACTGGTTTACTTCACAGCATATGAAATAAATTACCTACATAAGGTGTATGGAGGAACATAACAAAGAGAGACAAAGGAAGAAGATGGAATTGCTTGCCATGGTCCACATAAAAGGGCAGCATTGAATCTATGCAATGAGGATTTCATGCTGAAAATCAGCAGACTAGAGCAGTACAGACTAGGGAATACTCTTTTGGAGAGGGAAAGAGCCCCACCCTGCAGAGTTTTAAAGTTGGGGTGGGCAGTGCCTCAGGAAGGCTCAAGAGAGAGTTATCCACACTTAGAGACAACTATGGGCACAGTAACTTTTCTGGTTTTGACCAAATCCAGTCTGATCTCTGCAAGCACAGACGAATAAGTAGTATGATGGAGCCATTTTGGAGTTATGACCTTTTTCTCACCTAAAACAGGCTTGAATCACATCATTAGATACATGAGCTTCATCCCTTGCAGTTTGGAAGCAAATTTTGGAATGGCTCCTCCCTGGCCTTTCTCTAAGGTACACAGGTCTGTCACACAAGAAAAGAATAACAAAGGCAAGAAAAGATGGCACTTTGTGCCAAAATAGAGTTGCTAGTGACAGCAAATTTCACATCAACCAGCTGTGACCACAAATGCTCAGCATTTGAGGAACAGGAACTTGGGGACAAAAGCAGCAAGCACAGAAACACTGAGATAAGGTGCAGATGAAGACACTGTGCCTTCTCAGCATGGGATGGTCTCTGAAGAGATCATGGTGAAAACTAATTTCTCTAACTCTACACTACAACAACTTGGAGAACATTATCACCCAGTTCCCTTAATTCCCTTCACCCACCATCCCTATCATTCTAAGATATCCTGCGGTATCTATGGCACATTCAGTCTGGAACGGGGTGAAGAGGCCTTTAAGGTACATAAAAATCAATCCTGACAACTCAGCAAGTCCTTATTGATTGTTCTCTGTGCCACACAAAATGTAGAATTGATACCTGCCCTTTAAGGAGAAGGAGAGTTGGGGGAAGGGGGAAAGGCAGGAGTGAAAGAAAGCCCAGAAAAAAGTGGCAGCAGAAGGAAGCAAGAGCTTGAAAGTGACACTGTGCAGTTTGTAAGTCATCAGACATTACATTTGGGGACAATCTGGTTCGAGCAGCAGGTAGAAGATTTTAAGCAGCTGCATTTGGAACAGGATGGGCAGCACAGGAAGAAAAGGAAAGCCAACTGACAAGGTGAGTTATGATCAGCATCTCTACAAAGGCTTTCAACAGAAGTGATGGAGAAGAGCTGGTATACTTCAGTACAACACCAACAGAAGGCCTGGAATGATTTATAAATACCCTGGATCATGAGCAATCAGGAAGAAACAAGGAAATTTAACAAGGATATTGTGGGGTTAATATGATCACTAATGCTACAGGCAGACAGGCTTGAGGGGTAGAAAAAAAGACAGAGGCAATTCATTTGATAGTTCTCCTTGTATGAGATTCTGCAGATAAAGTAAGAGAGAACAGACAAGAGGAAGAGCAGCAGTAGGAACCATTTCCACATAGACAGCAGTGAAATACACAAAAGAGGACAGAGCAAACCCAGAGCACTGTAGAAGAACCTCAAAGGCCATCAGAGACAAGAGCGGGTAAAGTCACCACGGGAAATGACAAGAGACAAACTGGAAGGGGGAGAAGAGGAGGCAAAAGAGTCAAGTGGACCTTCACAAAGGCTCATGGGGAAAGCACAGGGAGGAAGGAGGGATTTCCAGCTGTCTGGTCCCTGAATAGGTCCCTGAAAGGCTTGAAGTGCTCCAAATAGCCCCACTTTAGACTCCCACCTATTGCATCCTCTGTTCATGGTCTAGGAGCTCCATTTCATCTGAGGTCCACGTATACTGCCTTGTCTGAGCTATACTGTGGGTGAACCTCTCCTCAGTCCTACCTCTAGGACAAACCTATCACCTGCACCACAAACAGTTTGTCTATGGTCCTGCCTATGGCACATTTCATGAAGCATTGTGTCTAAGAGCCCTTTTTTTCCCGCCCACCAAATCTGTCTGTCCAGACTCAAATTGTCAGCAGAATTGAAATCCAAAGTATTTATATCCCCACTCCATCTCCTACTGCTGGACTCACTGTTGGACCCTGGACCCGATTCATAATCTCATCTTCTTTGGGACTGTTGATGGACCATTGCTACCGGCATCTAGTTCTGATTGCACTGTTCAGATATGATGGGACTGTACCCTAGTGAGTGACAGCTTTGCTGGTGACTGTCATCACCTTTGGCTACTCACTTGTCCTTCCATGGAGGAGCAGCCCTGCTCTTGCTGCTCCCTGAGCCATGAGCCATGCTGGAGAGAACAAAAGTCAGGGAAGTGAAGCAGCAGCCCACAGATCTGATGAAAAGGGACATTATTGGTGACTGTGGGAAGAGCAGTTGAACACTGGCTGGTCATCACAAAGTCAACGGCTGCATTCCAAAATGCTGTGGCACACCTTTACAATTGTGTATATCCACAAAACAAATCGCCACCTGGATAAGCTTCTGATACGCACAGTCTACTTCTGTTCCCGAGCTCAGCTTTTAAAACACTCTACAGGAAGGGAAGAAGTGATCAGTACCTGTTCTCAAGGCTACCCTGACCCCACTGCTAAAACATCCCACACAGCAGGATGTGGGCATGTGTTACAATGAGAACTGATTACTGTTGCTTGCCCACAGAGCAGGGCATTCAAACACTACTGACCCAAGCCTGGAGTGCAGCCAAAGCACTACAGGGAATGGCTCCAGAACGTCTCCTTTCTAGAGTTACCCAACACTTCTTGCATCCCAGAGCTCCCCTTCTGTTTTTTCTCTCCTCACTACCACTGCCACTGCATCCAGCATGAACAACTCCATCCTTGCTTCCTGTGGATGGCTGACCAACCTATTGCATCTCTCTTAAGTCCCACAATACACAGCTACAGTTTGATCCTTGCTACAAAACCCTCATAAAAAACAACCCTCTGTGTTTACTGCATGCTGTTTACTCTCTGCAGTCCTACCCTCATCTTCAACAGTAAGTGTTCTTCAACCCAAAACCCTCCATTGCCTTCTTTAGACATAAACCACAGGCCTGATCTCCCCTCTAGACTGTTGCTCTCTGATACTGCCCCACATTCCTCTCTCCTTGCAAGTGGATGACCAGCTTCCTCTGCTGAAGTTCTGTCATACATTCAGGCTTATGCCATGACTTTTCACATAAGACTCATTTCTTCATGGCAACACCTTCAAAATGCACACCACATGCTGCTGTCCCAACAACTTTTTGCACACCTCTCAGGAACAACTACTTTTCCCTTTCAATGTGACTTCACACCAGCACCCTCCTTCATGCTTGGCAGATCCCTCCCCTGTCCTGCCTGCCCCAAATACTGCTGAAGGCTGCCATTCAGACTCCTTGTTTTGCTATTCACACTTCCTTCCCCACCACAGCAAACTCAGTCGCTTATGTCTCCCCTCATCATTCCAGCCTCTCTGCCTGCTTCATTCAACCCTCGGACCAAGCTGCACACTCGTTACACCGGCAAATCCAACATGCAGCAAGCCATCCATATGTGCAACACTTCAGTTCTGCTGCACACCATACCACAGCTACTGCCTAATTAATTTTAAGCACAGAGCCTGTTTAGCTTTTGTTTTCTCTGTCTTTTAAATATTTTTAGAAACACAGCAGAAAATATTTCATGAAGCATTGTGTCTAAGAGTCCTTTCCCCCCCCCCCAAATCTGTCTGTCCAGATTTGTCTACTCAAATCACCAGCAGAATTCAAACCCAGAGTATTTATATCCCCACTACAAAGCTCTTATCCTTTCAGTCTGGAGACATTTATCCTCTCTGGTCCAGCATCTAGAGAGAACTTTATTCACAGTTTGTCAATGAGTTACAAACTATTTACCAGACAGAAATAAAACGCTGCACACAGGTAAAATGGTTTTCTTGTCTTCAGAAGAAAGCATGAGCCAATAAACTGGGTGCCTGAATCACAAACTGGGTAGATATGCTCTAGATAGGCAGATCGGTAGGGACACTATGAGATGAACAGAAAGATTTGTATTTACCTTATCAAGGACACAGGTGTTCATAACCCTGCCAGAGCTGAATTTGGGCAAAGTTTTTCATACTGTATTTATGGGATGACAATGAGTTCACACTTGACTGACTTCCAGGCTTTGACTGTAACATTTCAGCCAGAAATAAATACACTGAAATGTAAGTGGCAGGTTGTAGAACTGAGACTGGAGCTTCTGAGGAAAAAGGCTCCAGGATGCACTGGTCTGCAACATGGGAGTTTTTCACTGGCTGCAGTTTGGCTATCTCAGTGGTGCAGCAGAATAGGTACCTGGGCACATGTCAAGCAAAGGACAACCTGCAAAGCCCATTACAAAATTTGGCTCTTGCTCACTCCTGCATCTGCTTTCTACCATGCCCACTCCCTGGGTTTGAGTGCTTCTCACAGCCAACAGCTCTTGGATTCCCCACCATCACATTGTGCCCACCAGGCCTTACACCTCCATCCCTCCACACACCAGCCATCCCAAGGTACTTCCATGGCTGCCGTCTCACATCCCAGTACCCCACTAGTGCCACTGCTGCTGCGCAACAGCACTGGGGTCATCGGGGTGCCACCAGCTTCACCCAGCAATATTCACTGCACCCAGTGAATGCAGAGCAAGGTAGTGACAGCCCCCTCACTCGTCGCTGAAAATAAAAGCAGTGACCGTAAGTTTCCCCAGGAGGGGGACGGCAGTGGCAGCTAAAGCCTCGAGACCACCCCAGCCACCGACACCCCATTTTCTGTTCCCTTCAGCCTTGTGCTCCACAAATAACACCCGCATGTACCACAGGCCACCCTCCCTCCTGCCCCCACCGCAGCACAGCCAAGGAGCGAGGAGAGGGAGCTGGGGTGACACTGCCCGTCCCTCGGCCACTTGGTTTCGTGCCCACCTAGCTCGCCCTCCTCTGCCTCATTTGTAAAACTAAGTCCCGGGGCTGTTTCCCACACGCATGGCGCGCTCGCCTCCTCCCCCCACTGCCAGCACTGGCCGCCGATCCCACGGCCTTGCGTAAGAGGCCGCCACTGACAGAGGAGCCACCTTCGGCCAGGCCTGGGAGGAGGAGGGCCCGGCGGCGCCTTTCCGCGCCCCGCGGCTCTGCCGGACGCCGGCACCCCAGCATCCCCACCACCCCGGCCCCGCTGGCAGGGGTCTCCCGCGGCAAGAGACCCCCAGGCTTCCCCGGGAAAAGGAAAACAAAACAAAACATACTCTTTCTCCTTCCTCACCCCCCCATCCGCTTAAATAAAAATCACACATCTCCAGAAGTCTGGGAGGCGGCTTTAAGAAAAAAAAACCAACACCCCCCCCCAAAATACCCCCAAAAAACACAAACCGAACCCAAACCACATAACGTCCCCCGCCACCCGGAAACTGTCTGAAACATTAAACCGAACCCAAACCACATAACGTCCCCCGCCACCCGGAAACTGTCTGAAACATTAAAGAATTAAAAACAAACAAAACCCCCAAACAAAACCAAAACACAATCTTCTTATTTGATAAACTTTAGAAGCCCCTACGGAAGGTGCATCTAAAAAGCAATTCCACAAGGGCTTCTCTGCGGTTTCATGGGGTTTGTACCAAACAAGAGGGGGAAACTGCAGCCTAAATACAGACCAGAACACAGATCTCGAACCTACAAACCCCAAACAGGCACAAACGCGATTAATACTAAGTTTTCCATATAAACCCAGGGGCTTTTCCCCTAGCTATCCAATTTTAGACTACTACCACATTTTTTTCCAGGGGGTGGGATTAGGATGTCTGACAATTTTTTTTTTTGCAAACCCCATATTTTCGGCGGAAGAGGGGTTAGCTTCAAAATCTCACTCGTATTATTTCTCACTTTTTTTTTAAATTTGCAATTACACAACGTTTCATCTATGCATTTACTGTCTGAAACCTTTACTTTCTAATGAAGCAACATCCAGATTTTCTTGTTTCTCAAGTACACCGCTTTCTACATACACAAACACACACACATACAGAATTGGTTTAAGACAAAAATAATCCCCCCAAAATAAAAATAAAGGACTCACCTCTTCTCGGGTTTTCCCCCCCACACTATGTGTAAACTTTCCTTGATAAATGGTATTGTATTACTAGAGATATTATTAATGTATTATTACTAGAAGTAATAATAATAGTAAGTGCTATTTAATTACAGAAGGCAGCATTCTGCTTCTGGATCGGCTGCCCCTGCAGCTCCCTCCATGTGCCTCCTGATCTCTTTACTTTCATTTCCAGGTCTCGCTCTCGCTCGCTCGCTCGCTCGCTCTCAGCTGCACCAGCAAGAGAAAATGCCTCTCTGCATATCCTCTGGGCCCTAGAGGCTACCGCTTTCCATTACAAAAATTCACAGATCTTTCCCTTGTGGCTGGTTTTGAGATTCCTTAAGGTGAATTAGGCTTTAAAAACAACAACAACAACAAAAAAACCACGGGAAAAACTCCCCCGATTCAGCAGTGGACTCTCCATTCTAATTTTAATGCAACATTTTTTTTTTCTTCCTGGTTGTCTTTGCTGATATAAAAAATATACCCCAAAAGAAAGAAAAGCTGCGTCTGCAGAGGGATTGCATGCATACGAGTGCAGCAATGAACTGAATTATGAGACACCCCCCGGAATTATCACATATGTGAAGCAGTGACCCTTTTGCCCACCCATATATATATGTTTGCTGGACAGGGGCCAGAGCCATTGCTTATGGCAGAGCAATTATCTGCTCCAGACAGACCTTACTTACTCCACCCTGCACTGCTGAGGGGGTTCCCTGTAAATAACATCTTCTGAAAACATAAATCTTTGGGTGGAAAGGAATACCCACTGCATGTATGTGTGTGTGTGTATTAATATTATATTTTATACCGTTGCGTATTATACAATCTACAAATATCCATAATATACATACACACATATATTACATATGTGCATATGCACATATATTTTTATTTTTATGTTATGTTATATTTTTATTTTTATATGTTATGTTATATTATATTTAATATTATTTTTGTTATCTCATATTTTATATTTATGTATACACATGTGAGTTTAGGCACTTTTTTGGAACCAGATTTTTGCCTTATTTTCATCCCAAATCCTTCAATATTTCCAGAAAATGGAATCTCCACAGCCGTCCATGCCAGCAGAGCCCCAGAACAGAGCTGCTGGTGGGAAGCAAAAGAGGCCCAGTGGCCCATGTTGTTATATCATGGGAAATGGTTGTGAAGACACAGATACACAGACCACCTTGGATGGGGAGATTCACTCATCCCTGCTCAGCTCCTCTATCACTAACTTAAAATAACTTTCTGAAATGAGTTTTATGATCAGCTCCCAGTAGAGCCTCCCTGGTAGAACAGGTTTTCCTCCCCCTAAAGGATTCTACCATCAGGTTAATAATTTCTAGACTGACACTGGTTTAAATTACCAGCTTTTTTCCAATGTAATCAGTGACATGTTTACTCCTGAGTGTCTCACTTCTCTATTTACAGTGACCCACAAGAGTGTCACTTTGTGCTTTGCAGCTAAGCAACTCCAACAAGATTCAAAGGCAGGTAGAAGGTAACATCTGAAGTGTACTAAACTTGTTTAATATTTAAAACATGTTGAGCAGAAAAGGAAAGACTTTATTATACTGAGTAGAATTGGCTTCTGGCAGCTCTGCCACAATAAACTGATAAATTTATGAAATATAGGCTGTGAATTGTATAATGTACCATACGACACTGGAGAACACTGTATAATGCTCTACACAATATTTTATCACAATGCAATTTTTTAAGATATTGATTATGATCCAAAGATTGAATCCATGGATAAGACAATATTTATTTTTATTATCTCTTCAGGAGATTTGTTACCCCTTATTTTTAGACAGTGACAGTGTGACAATGAGTGGAGTCTAACCAAGCTGGGCCTCTGGTAGAAGCTGCTGGGCAAAATGTACATTAAATTACAAACCCTGTGGAGGGATAGTTTTGGGCAGAAGAAAGGTGGAGCAGGTCTGGTGAGAGAAAGTAAACACTGGGAGAGTTGATATATCAGATCACAGTGGCAGCATAACAGAGCCATCATCAAATGAGTTACAGAGCCCAGGATACCTCAAACCCTGCAGCACCTCTGAAAGAAAATGACATCACAGCTGGATGAGAAGAAGAAAGCTTAAAAGGAGCCAAGGAGAAAGAGGAACAAAACCAAAATGTACATACGATCGAGACTTATGCTGGAATAAGCACTAGTTTTTAATTCAAGAACATTCATTTTCAAGACTGCATTTTGAATTTAATGTCAGGTTGTACTTCCTTCCAGCCCAATTTGCTTTGCCTGTAAGACTGATAGGTGTTCTGCAAGGTCATGATCCCGTATATACTGCTCCTCTCATGAAAAAAACATCTTTCCTTAGTGGTTAATGAAGATTTTCACAGTTTGCCAGCATCATTATCTAGGTCTCATGTGCAGATAGTCAGCAAGAGTCGAAACACCACAAATTCCTGCTACAAACTAGATATAGTGTCGTAGAAATTACTTTGATTTGTAAAGCTATTCTTTTAGGGGGAATGTATAGAATGTATAGAATCTATGCTACAGTGGCACAGCACACCTACATTCCAACATAGATCCACCTACAGTCAACAACTTTATTCTTGCCCTTCTGGCACAGGTAATTACCCAATATTTGGGAGAATGACAGAGAAGGAAATCAGACGTATTTGATATGATCATGTTTATTGCTAAAAATCATGAGGAACTAATAACCAGTGCCAAATTTCTTGCTTATATTTTCTGGATTCAAGCTCTTGCTCAAGATCACACTTATTTATTGCCTCATCACATCTGCATATTCAGGAAGCTTTATGCTTCTCACATACAACCATAGTCTAGTCAGTGCCTAAGTGCTTCTTAATTTTCTTCAGTTGCAAGAGAAACTCTTTATTATTTGTGAGGTAAATTTTGCTCTAGTTTTCTATCTGGTTGCTGTATCAGTTTATGGCTTTTATTCTTTAAGCTGTACAAAGAAACCTCACTGCTTTTTGTATTCCCCCAGAAGGAAAAAGGCCTACCATGGTCTCCCACCTCAATGCAGTGTGCCAAGTCACCCAGGATCACCAACTACTGACATTCTTTTCTTGGGTCCATACAAGCATTTGCTGTTGCTTCTTAAAAGCATAGTTGGCAAATTTGTGAGAGACTGGAAAATGCCTCTTACAGTGTTTTTGGATCAAATGGCAAAATAAATCCTGCTTGTTACCCACCCCAATAGTGATCTCACCAGGTATCTGCCACCTGAAATGGTACCTGCATTAGTGCCTATAAATTCCAGCTCAGAGAGAAGGGACTGAAGTGCTGTGCAAACCTACTGCAGTAGCAGGCAAGTTTATGCACAGCTCACCTCACCTCACCTCATTGGATGTACTTTTGTTCCTATACTCAGAAAGAAAATGTCAAGCACAACGTACACATGGAGCTGTCATGCAAACCAATGCTTTTTGCATCCTTAAGCAGGAATGACTGTGCACTCCTGGGTGAAAGTGACAGCATGAGAGGACACAGACTTCAGCTGTGCCAGGGGAGGTTTATGTTGGACTCCAGGAGGAATTTCTCCACTGAAAGGGTGGTTAGACATTGGAATGGGCTGCCCAGAGAGATGGGGGAGTCACTGTCCCTGGAGGTGTTTAAGGAGAGATTGGATTTGGCAGTTAGTGCCGTGGTCTAGTTGACATGGTGTTCAGTCATAGGTTGGACTCGATGATCTCAGAGGTCTTTTCCAACCTAATTGATCCTGTGATTCTGTGAAGCACCTTCTTCAGCAGAAAGGTCTGAAAGTAACGCACAAGTACAAATTGATCTGCAGGGACCGGAAGGCACGCGTGTCCCTTCTGCGGGCATGCGGGAGCTCGCCGGGCGGCAGCTCCTCGGGACGTGGGTTGTGGAAGGGGCTCGGGCACAGACTCACGTAGCCCTTCCAGGCCGGCGTGGCGGCCCGCCACATCGGGCGCCGAAAGGCAGGATACACCTCCCGGACGTGCCCCGCGGCCGCCGGCCCACGCAGCCCGCCACGCGTCGCGCGGCGGCCGGGCTGCGGTGAGCGGAGGGCGCGGCCCCGGAAGTCAGGGCGGCAGCAGCCAAATCTCGCGCGGGGGCAGAAAACTGGCCGGCGTTCAATCCTTCGCCTTCCCCCGCCCGCCCCTCACCAGCGGCCGGCGGCGGCGCGCGCGAGCTCCGGCGCGTCCCGGCACCCGGCGGGCGGGACCCGGCGGCCGGCGGAAGGGCAGGTGAGGGCGAGGACGGGCGGCGAGACAGCGGCGCCGTTATCGGCCGGAGAGAGGGGCCGTGCGTGGGGGGCCGGTGTGAGCGAGGCGGTCCCATCCGCGGCTGACGGCGCTCCCCGGCTCCGCGCTGCGGGGCGCTCTCCGGCGCGCCCCCCACGCGCACGCGGGTTTTCCCCCTCGTGGGGGTCGCGGCCGGGCGCCCGTGGGGTGGGCAGGCAGGGCGGTCACGGGCGGCGGCGGGGCCGGAGCTCGGCTGCGCCCGCGGGGGAAGAAAGGAGCCCCCACGCCCCAGGGGCTGGCTGGGAGGAACCTCGGGCTGTCACCCCGCGCTGCCGGGCTCCCCGCTGTTGGGCGAGCAGAGCGAGCTCCTCCTCAGGACAGCACGGCAGGTGCCCAGTGTGTTGTCTGCTGGGGTGGACAAAGTGTTGCCACTACAACATTCGTCTGAACTCACTTATTTACCATCGGGAAACATCCACCTTCTTCACACAGTCTTTAAGTAGTGAGGAAACCTGTCTTCAGGCATTTCTAGGTCTTGGTTTAATTGCCAAACAGACTAACTCCTCGATCTTATTTTTTTTTCAAAGCTTTCCCTGTAGAAGAAGTAGCAGAGAAGAGACCTCTGGTAGGTTGATGGCTGGGTGTGGCTGACGTTTGCAATAAAATATGCTTCAGGATGTGATGCTGGATTTGTATGTTGAGATTAGGAAGTAGTCTGTGTGTAAGGTGAAGAAAATAAAGGGAGACTTAAAGGAAGGAGAAGCCAAGGGGGTGAGTGCACCTGTAGAGAAGAACATCATAGTAGAACAGAACTGATTTTTAAAGTCAAGTAAATAATTGAACTAGGAGAACAGACTGACTTCTTTAGATCCTAACTTCTGTTCCTGTCTGGGAAAACCTTCAAGGATTGGAGGATGTCCTGTTTTTCTTCTTTCTTAACCTTGGATTGGCAGAGGCTGGGAGGTGTCCACCAGTGTGGTGTCTGTGTGGCCTGGTAGGAGTGGAGTAAGTTATGTGAGCATTCTTCTATCGGCAGCACCTACTTGAGAGGATAGTCATCTGAGAAAAGTCATGTTGATCAGCCGTAGAGATTTCCTCCACTGTCCCCATGTCCAAAAGCAATATTAAAATT